CCCTCTAGCCAAAATTTGTGTTTGCCTTGCCTAAAACAAAGTAAGCAAAAGCCCATTGGGGTTTTCTCGTGTCCACTCTTTGCTTGCTTTGCTTCTGGTCCTGTTTTCTGCTGCTTGCTATGTCTTTTAAACATGTTGGCAAACTGAAACTCTATAACACACAATTTTTATGGTTACAAATGTGTCGATAGCCAATCTTGGTTGTTTACTATTGTTTTTATAAAACCCACTGACAATGTCATGCCACTTTTCTTTGTGACGCAAACACGATCACTCTTACACACGACTAACATTCTAACACTAGATAATTGTTCTGTTACCTTCCTTAGACAGTGTTTGCTGCTTATTTTTAGCCACTGCTGCTGTCTCAGTTTTTGCACAGCCACTACACAAGACCTGGGCACCAAAACCTTCATCATCACCTGCTGATGTTGAGCAAAGCGGAATTGCGTGGCACGTTTTTTTGCAAACTTTGCAAAAATGGCTTCCACATTCCTTCTTTTACTAAACCATTACGTGTACTCACCTTACAAATTTGAACACCCCAAGTTGGTTTAATTAAATATCACGTATCACCGTACAATACACCGAAGAATCGATATGGTGTGCCTTGAAGTCACTTAAAAAGAGAAAGCTCGAAAAACGAAAGCAAAGAATGTGTAGTTAATCTGCTCAGATATCATATTTCTAGTCATCAAACGCTTATTGGCTTACCAACCAATTAACGGAACTTGCCTGTCAAAACAGCTTGTAAGATTGACATTCAACAGGCAACAATTTTTTTCAACGGAAACAACAGCGCTGCAGCGCACGTAATGCTGATATTGCGCAATAATTTCTCGCGCTGCGCGGCAAATTTCACAAATGCGCGGCGAACAAGAAATTTTTTAAAATCTGCGCGTCAGGACGCGCATTTCTCCCGAAATTGCGCAAGCTAGATCTAGGTTGCGCAAGACATACTTTCCAGTCTGGACGCTGGTAAGAAAACGACGCATATCTGCATTCATAGATGTGTAGCCGACATATAGCTCTTTCATCGATAGTTATAAATACATCCTCGTAGGAGCCGATAACTGGAAAGCTATGTTGACTCGCTGTTACGAATTGTAGGTTTTTATCGTGATTTTCATCAAAAAATTGCTTGCCGAATCCCAAATACACACATACATTTTCTTCACTCTTTCCTCAGGAGGGAGTGGGAAATTGTGAAATTTTCGGAAAAGCGGTCAATTTCGGTAAATCTCAGCGGCAACGGACGAAATCCGCCATTTTTTTGGCGTCACCAGATATCTAAGGCCGCGCTTGAGATAGCCGCTCCAGTTATTATAGAACTCAATGGTGGAAAATAGTGCTAACCGCGAAACCTACTCGTGCCCATTGAGCTATATAATACCTGGAGCAGCTAACTTTACTGGGGCGAGGTCACCGAAAAAATGGCGGCCAACGGACGTATTTCCGCTGAAATGATTGCTTTGCAGAAAAATAATATTCTCGACCTCCCCTGATATCTATAGCTAATTATACAGCATTTTTCAAAAACAAACACGATATCTTTTTTGGCATTTCTTTTAAAATGCCAACACTTCAATCATTCAATTGTTGGATATCGTAGTGTCCACAAAAAGGAACATGCAGCTTTCACAGGTGAGATATTTGTTTTCTTTGTTCGTCAAAAATTGAAAAACAATTGAACTTGAAGCCTGAGCGATAAAATCCGACCGATGTTTTCCTGTTTTTGTTTTTAAATATCAACATACTTTTTTGTTAATGTGTCAAACCGTAAATCTGTTTGCAAAATAGTTTCCCTGACGCGAAAAAAGATTCTGCTCTTTTTACTCAGTGGGCAGATACTATGAAGAAACGATCACCCACAAAGAGAACCCATGAAGTAAAGCAGAGTTTGTTCTGATCAATTTGCTGAAAACATGAAGAGATGATCGGATAGCAAAATGTTTCTGGAATATGTTGCAGTACCACTATTTCATAGATCACTATATTAAGAAGAAGATTAGAAGATACTATTGACCAGACAGAGTCTAACTGCAAAATGCTAAGGCTGAATACAAACAAAGGTAAATGATTCACAGACTTCCCTGTCCAACAGTTATTTGAACTTGGACTAATTCTATTGATGGAGATAATGGATTCAGTAAAGATGCCTTGAATGCTTTGAAAGTAAAGGTCAAGTACCAAATAAAGATAACAAGGTTATGTGTGTCTTGATGCTTGATGAAATGACATGCAAAAAGATCATAAAGTTTGTGCTTATGTCAAAATTGATACTGAGATTGATGATGACTTACTGCAACTGTACAATCCATGCAGTGTGTTTTATATAACTAAATTGTAAAATCACGTCACATTTTTATTAAATTATTTTAGTAGAATGTTTTTGGAATGTTACTTATATGTAATACATGCTATATTGAAGCATTAAAGATTCATTAATGAAAACCTCAGTGCTATATATTTCTTCTTAATTTCAGTTTTAGCAGAAAAAGTGTTTTGAGCTTATTTACCTAATAAAGTACAGAATGGACATTTGCCATTTGCTTTATTTTCTGCTTTATTAAGCCAGGGAAATGCTTTGACTTTTCCAAGTTTTTCTTCAATTTTTTCCTTCTTAATTCATTTCATATGAATGAAATACAGGTAGTACAGATTAATAACTTTATAATTTTTGAAAAGCTGTTATGCTTCTAGCATTAAAGAACACAAACTGTGTTTAATTCATTTGGTTTTATTGCCTTATTTTTACATGTGTACATGCACTTCATCATTTTTGTATAAACAACACTTGATGTTGCATACTTAGAGGGAAAAATCCCATAACACTTGGTATTAAATATGGGTATAAAATTTATTATTGGGGTGAACGCTGTATTAGTCAATCAAATTCTGAACTCACATGGCTAATAGGAAACTTATAAAAAAGAGAAAAAGAAGAGAAGTATTAAATACACTATCGTGTATTCATGTATTCAAGTGTTATAAACACTATTGTAATTTAAGTGTTTTAATTATTTGCATTTTTGGCATTACAATCATTACAACGAAATCAAATATGCTACAACTTGACAAGTATTTGATGCAGTTCTTGTTCAGACCACAAAAACCTTAAAGTTTCTCTTGATTTGTATACAATATCTTTTTCATTATTCATTTACGAAACGCGAGATGCATGCACAAAAACAAATCCTACAATTGTTGCGAAAAAGGCCGTCACATGAAAGACAGCAAAAAACTAATGAGAATAAATGAGCTAACATTTCTCTCGTGATCCGTTGAGATAAAATATGATATATCTTGTTTCGTCCAGACTACAAACTTTGATCGAGCAAATCATTAAACGACAGTTACGATTCGCACATCTGCATTCATATGTGGCCCACAAATAGCTCGTTCGTCAATAGTTAAAAAAGGCGTCCGTCGTAGAAGCCGACAACTGGCAATCACAGTTGACTCGCTGTTACGAATTGCAGGTTTTTATCGTGATTTTCATCAAAAAATTGCTTGCCCAATCCCAAATACACACATACATTTTCCTCACTCTTTCCTCAGGAGGGAGTGGGAAATTGTGAAATTTTCGGAAAAGCGGTCAGTTTCGGTAAATCTCAGCGGCAACGGACGAAATCCGCCATTTTTTGGCGTCATCAGATATCTAAGGCCGCGCTTGAGATAGCCGCTCCAGTTATTATAGAACTCAATGCTCGTGCCACTCCAGAACATGAGTAAAAATATAATAGAAATAATATAAAGAAAAATGTATCTGAAACAAAATAAAAAGAAAATTATTTATCTTGTTGATTGTTTACATGAACAACAAAACATGTATACATTATGCATCTTATTATTTCGGTAAATTTGAATGCAAAAACAAACACGTTTTAGCTGAATTGCTTCAATACTAAACTATCAGTACAAACAAGTCATGAATTTCCATAAACAAATTTCGGTATGAGATTTCAGCCCCTCCACGCTATATGTCATTAGCAAGTTTCCGCCCTTCACACCCCGAGATTGCATGCGATATGCTTTGCTCGGGTATGCAGGAGTGCCGTCGCGACCGAAATCTTGGTCCTAAGCATTGGCGTCAATCCTGCGATAAGTGCGGGGGGGCATATTCATATATTCTGTGATGCCAGGCTGATTTCTTTTGAAAGTGAAGTTGTTTTGAAAAGAAATAAGCCAGGCATAGCAGAATATATGAATATGGTGCCCCCCAATTAACACTGCAAACCTAATCGCACCCACGTTTCGACAAGTGTTACATGTCATCTTCAATAGAAACTGTTTGCTTTTCAAAGTTACATATTACAAATAAGATCGTGATTAAACGTCATTTAAATTAAATTAATAAATAATCAACGGAAAATTGTTAACTCGCACGATGCGCGTACACCATGACTAAATAGAGGATTGCTTAGATGATTATGATAGGCCACTTTGAATAATAATAATGACCAATTGTTGCAACGATCAATAATTTTACAGTTTTGAAAATTATAATTTCAACGTCTGCTATATGACCGTTGACACCTGAGGAGTAGTCTGCCGAAATGCCGAAATGCATCGTGTCGTTTGATTTAGAACTATCGTGTTAGTGCTCTTTACTTAAAACAGTTCTTTTAAGAACTATCAACTTATTATATTACTTTTACCATTCACTATGGTATTTGCGATATTTAGATAGTTTTGCGATTTTTAGTATATATAGAAAAATGTTCTCAATCAGTATAAATTCTCTATAAGTAAAGAGGTACTTACCGTGGGGCTCTGCCAATGAGCTTCCTTCACTTTTACTGAATAACAGCGTAGGTATATTTTGTATCCGAGCTACATTTAAACTGATTAAAGGGTATATACAGACTGCATGTTCTGCTTCTTCATTTTTTAAAATCAATTTTATTACGAAGACATGACGAAGATAAGCATTTCAATTTGGGGGCGTGAGCATAAGACATGAGCACATGCGCATTGTGTTTATGACGTATGTAGACAGAACCACAACACAGTGACGCATATCATTTAATGCTTTTATGGAACGAATCTTTCTGCGCTTTAATTCCTCTTCGAATTGATATGTCTGGAAAGAAAAACTTTGGTAAGTTCAAAGAACATGTTTCACGATAAGTTTGCATTGCTATTATAAATTATTGTTCTTTGATTGTCACATAGTTCTAATCAATCTAAAATTCGTAACATATGAATACGATAGTGTGTATTTTCATTTTCAAAATATAGAATCATAAGAATTTGTTTTCAAATTTACTAGAATACAGAGGTTTTTACTGGTTGAAGGTGATTTAAATCGCTGGATTTGAATATGTCCAAATTGTCTATTTTAAATGAAGAATCGATGTTCGAATTTTGAACGATTTAAGTTAGTTGTTTCAATTGTCAAATTTTGCAACAAGGCCATAACTACCTTTGTGAAAAACGTAAAACGTCCGAATAAAATGCATGTTATGGACGAGTACAATTTTTTTTTTGCATTCTTTTATATTACACTGAATTTTATTGTCTACTTATTATTTTGTTTTTCTCGTTTGGTACAATTTGCTGCCAAATATTAACTAAATTGTTAAATGGCAAATATATGATTCACTTCCTCATTCTCTAAAATTTTTTGTTAAAAGTATTGTAGCTGATATTTAGCAGCTTGATCACATTGAACCGATATTAAAGGCTGTTATAAATTTTTTTCATAACTGCTGCAACATATACGTTCTACTGTATACTACCTAATTCCACTCATTCTGACTTAGTTTCAATATTTATGTTTCTGAGGGAGATTGGTTATGATGGCTTTGAATAAATGTGTTTCTTAGTCATGAGAAGGGGCATCAGGACTTAGGCTCCTAGGTTTTTAAAATTGTGCTATTTTTCACAGTTTATAGAAAGATATATGTGTATAAATTATTGCATTCAAATTTGTTGTGCAAAATTTACTTTTCTGTAAAAGAGTTGTGATAACTTTTTTTAAGTTGTGGATTTTCAACATGGGATGTAATTCATGAAATTGAGAAGGTTTTGATGATATTGCACTGGAGGGTACTGAAGGATATATTGTTTTGTATGGAAGAGATTTGCCTTTTGGTTATGAATCAACATTAAGCTTCACAAAAACAAACAAGATTTTATCAAAAGGTTTTAGGCTATTAATTTTTATGACCAAAAAAAGTTATCAAAGTATTAGTAGCTTGGAAAAATGTTTAATGAAACTTTTTTGTTCCACGCAACTTTCATAACCACCATCATTTCCTGTACTTTGAAAAGAATATAACTGGGATGAAGAATAAGTAATTCTTTACCATTAATTATTAGGTTATCCAGTGCAAGGTAGTGGCAATCAAAGGCCAGCATACCCAACTCAGGCAACAGCCAGTTACCCAATACAACCATCAAGTGCTTATCCAATGCAAGCAACTGCAAACTATCCAATGCAACCGACAGCTGGTTACCCTGGTCAAGTTTATCAACAATCTGGTTATGGTCATCATCAACATAATCTTTATACAGCCCCGCAAGTACCTCACAGTCATCCAGGCTATGGACAACCACCCCCACCTTATCCTGGTGTTGTGCCTAATGCAGCACCAATGCAGGTATAATTATCTCAATCTTGTTTATTTGACCTTACAATCTTGTTTATCTGAAGACTTTGTTTCCACCTCAAAAAGGTTGCTCCAAACCAAATTTTAACAATTTATGAAAAAAAGTCAATGACAAAGATGTTTTTGTTGCATTAATCCACAAATAATTTTTCAAATACTGTCATGCATAGGCATGGGAACTGATTTAAATTTGTGGGAGGGAGTCAGTAGTCGATGAGTAGTCGCCAAGACCCTTTTTGTAAGCTTTAGGGAGTCTGAAGCCTTAAGATAATCTTGCATCTTAAGGCCCATTTATACACTGAAAATATTTCCCATGAACCAAACACACACTGAAAATTTGCACAATTGCTTTTTCTCAATCAATATGGTGCCTACATTAAACAAGAAATCCTTGCTTATCATGGCAATATTATTGCAGGGAAGGCAAAATGCAATGCACTTTCATTTTCAATAAAGTTCACACTTTCATTGAAAATACCAGCTTCCTGACTCCTCTCACATACCGCCATTTTGTTTATTTTAGAAAATAACATATTTTCTGATGGAAACTAATTTCAACTTCTTTCCGACAGGAAAATTTTCTTTACAGAATATAGAATTAATGAGCTGCCCATGCGTTCGGTGGAAAATTTTCCATTCCGCTGCAATATTTCTGGTGTGTAAATCGCGCTTTATACAAACACAGTTCTTTAACTACTCATAAAGAATCAAACCAATAACAAGAACGATTGGTAGTGCTCATTGCAAGCTACGTAATAGTTCTAGTACAATGTCATTAAGACTAAGACGATCTGCCTGAGTTTTGTGCGTTTTTGATCTACGTAACAATAAGATGTACACGTTTTTGCTCCTGTGAGGGGGATTTTGTTCGTATATGCATGTTTTTCCGTATTACGTTTTTTTGTATGATCAATTGTCTCTTAAGAATTAAAATATCCCCCACCCCTTACTTATTGAGCTGCCGACGCCACTGTCTCCAAGGCAATACAAACGCATGTTTTCGCTTTCTAAAGATTTAAAGAGAGGCATATTTGTCATTGACACTTTTTAATGTTTATAAAGAAATTTATGAGCTTTACTTAACATTAACCAAGACAGACTTGTTCCTAATGTTGCAAATCATACTAATTTAAATGATATCCATGATTGGAATTCGTTTTCAGTATAACTTTTTCGTGTTTAGTGTCTAGTATGAGTTAGAATGAGGTAGAGAATTGATGCCAACAGTACTTATAGTGTTTTTTAAATTGGGGCAGTACATGTATTGTGATGACGACCTATATTTTCTGTTCCGTCATCCGTCTTATTCTTGCTCATGACTGTTCAAGGTAAGGGAAAGGTTAAAGCGAATAAAAATGTTACGTATAGATCCATTAAAACATTAAGCCCTCATCTTCCCGCTTCCTACGCCTATACTTACTTGCTGTTTTCCCTAAATATTTACTGACTATGTATTGTTTGTATAACAAATGCATCGTTAGTTATTGGAACAATTTCTCTTTCACAATATCTGAAGATTGCATAGTGCAATAGATGAACATAAATGAACACCTTTTTCTTGAAAAACATTTGTAATTTTAAGTGGTAGAACTCTTGTTTTTTAGTGGAAATAAATAAATACAAACATTCGTAGAATTTTTATCAACATCAATTATCATCTGCGTAGCGAAGCGTCTAATTTCTTTAGACGTTTATTGTTTTCCATTGAGTAAGCAGAGATAAGTTAACATAGTTGGACAAAATTTTTTCGGTTTGGACTGCTGGCTAAGCCGCTAGGTACTAGAAGGTCGCGCTAAACGTTGATTGTCCCATCAACCTCTTTGTATTAGTAGAGTGGATAAAAGAACTTATTTATTTAAGTGACCTTCACGTACGTAACAACTGTTGGAGCTATCGCATTATACTGCTGTATTCAAGTTCACAGGAACTGCTTTGAACTCTGTTCTTCATCTTCTTCTGATTTCCTCTTTTGAAAAATTGTTATCATTTTTATTAGATGGAACTTTACAACACAAAATACAAGCAAAATATACGTACACTACCAAGCTGGAAATAAATAATTTCGCAATAGCCTGTTGAATATTGAATATTTGCGAATGAATATTTGTGAATGCGTTGAATATTTGCGAATTGAATTTACAAAGTGAATTAAGCATTATAAAGTATGCGTATACTCAAACGGATTTGACGTTTGCAGGAGCAAACTCTTCTTCAATATTTCGTAGACCCCATATGAGAAGTTTGAAAAGGCAGCTGACAAATGAAATGTGCTGTCATTGAATTTAAAATCATCTCTCGATCGCCAGAGATTTCTGTGGGTGGATGTAGGTTTTTGCAATGTTAGTAGTTAATTTTCTGACTGAGGACATATGTATTTTAACAGAAGAGACGTTTCCTTTGCTTTTACCTTTTTTATTGATTCAATGCGAATTCTGATGTCTAAATGCTTACCATGTTTTTTTTTAACTTAGTTCATTTATATGCTAAGTATCTTATACTCGCAGTGAAATTTCGATCTAGTTTGCTGTTCTCGTTAATAATATTTTGATTATGGCTTTTACAATATTAACTCAGACGGCTCAGAGACCGCTTTTGTCTCACCGATAATTTTCCGCAGATAGTTTATTTCTTCAAATGTATTTTAGTTTGTGTCATTTTTTATTTGTGAGTCATCACATTTAGAATTAGCGTGTTTTTAGCGTGTTTTATTTTCTAACTTTCTTTCCTTTTCAACGTGCGTTTTAAATTTAAAAGTGCGAACATGCTTGGACTGTTAAGCATGTTTTTGTGTTAGTACTTCTGTTTGATGAAAAAATTTTTTTCTGTTTTAAAGTAGACCGGTGTTCCATTACAAAGAAAGTAAACAAATTTCTTATAGCAAACAGCAAAAGTGCAAATACCTCACATGTCATGCAATATGATAAAGTTTTTTTTGACTTTCTTAATCTCTTATTTCTAAAGCCCGGCGCACACTGTCAAACTTGTTGCTCATACTTGTTATTCGTGACAGGTTGGATCGACAAAAATCACTAGTGTGCGGGGAGGTTTTGAACAACATTTGTCATTCGTGACGGATGAGCCAAATATCAAACGTGTTAGATATTTTTGTCATGAATGGCAAGAAATTCTTGTGTGCGGGGAGCAACATAAGTACGCTTGAGATGACAAAAATGCGCACGCGCACATCTGGCAAAACAAAATGGCTGATTTCTTGAAAATCTTGAAAATTGATAAACGAAGGCGATTTCTCTGACGACGAAGAAGAATTGCTACTGTTTTTGTTGCGACCACGATGCTGCACACAAATGAGGGCAGCAAATCGTGGGAATTGCCACTTTTTCTCCATTTTACACGATTTGATGCCCTCGATTGTCTGAGGCATCGTCGTAGCAACAAAAGCAGTAGCAATACTTCTTCATCGTCAGATAAATCGTCATCGTTTATCAATTCGTTCAAGATGTTCAATAAATCAGACTATATACGAACAATTTGCTAGACCATTTGTGATTTGCATGTGGAAACGCTGTACGTTGGTTTAATTTATAACAAAAATTAATTTAGTAAAGGAAATTTAGTTTCTTTTAATGAATGATAAATATTTTCACTGCTGTAGGTTGTCGTACTTTTCTGTTATTTTTGCAGAGCTCATATATAGGCTTTCATACTTTTTTATAACTGTGTTTAAACCTTAAAGAGTCCTGCATTAATGCTGCATTAATCTCTATTTTTACCAAATTTTGTGGTTGAATTTTGTTCCATGCACGACATCTTGGCGAAAATTGTTCCGAAAATTTGCTTATTTACTGCCAAACATCCTTTGCTCACTTTGAACGTTATTCCCTTAACTCTGAGCAAGATGACATAAAGTATACGTATGTTTGGTTCCGAAATTATTGTTCGAGAACTTATTTAATGAATGTAATATAAGAGGAACAGATCTCAATCTAATAAAAATATTCTAATCATAGAATTTTGTGTTCTGACTTAGATTGTATCTTTAGTTTTTGGTTGATTAGAACGAAGGTCAAAGCCCTTAAATTTTGTATTATATTGTTCAATGTTATGCGAATTGGTTTGTGTTTTTGCAACAAGAGAATGACATAGATTTTAAATTCATTTAGCAGCCAATGATGCAAGGTCAATTTGACTCTGGTGCCAGATTTGGGGCGGGGGCTTCAGTGAGTATTCCTGTAAGTATAACGAATCTTTGCGTATAGCCCAGAAAGTATAAAAAATGATTCAGATATGATATGATGTAAAAGATGAAATAATTTTGTCATTCTAGCCACCTCCTCCTGGTGTAATGCCAACATCAGCTCAAATGGCATCATACAACGGCCAGCCCGTGGTTATGCAGCAACATAAGACTGGTTGGCTTGAAGGAGCTCAAGGAGGTGGATACACATTCTGGTGAAACAATGGTCGTAAACGGAAGTCGCTCAGGTTTTTGATATCATGTATCAAGGAAAATTTTTAGTTAGTGCACGCTGCAGTATATTTTGTTTCGATTCAGCTTCCTTCAGTGTTTGATTATAACTTCCAAGGCTTATACAATCTAGTTCTTAAATAGATTCTGTTCAAAAACATGAGACTTCAATAAATTGTGTTATATGATAGAGACAAGCTTTTTTTCATTGACATGTTCGCTGACCGTTTTTTTGTTGACCTGTCCTCTTACCTTGTAAATTATATTCAATGATATGATTGGCCAGTGTATCCGTTATTTTAAGGGAAGTTACTGTTAAGATTTAATTAGAGTAGTTCCATCTATTGCTTCGATGCTTTTTCAATTATCAAAAATATTTTATTATAGTATAGTATGTGATCACTATTGATTGATGTTAATGTTGATGTTAATATGGGCAAAATAAAATCGTATATAGTATGGGTTTTCTTTTGGCATTGTATATCGTTATCTAGCTTGATAATATATTTTGCTCACATTATTTATATTTAATAATTGGGAACAAAGTGCTTATCCAGAATCATTGTCATATAACGAAAATAAATTAAAATTTATTCGATTCAATATCCAAATAAGCCCAGAAGTACAGCGAATACAAAGATTCCAGTTGACATTAAGGTACTTCATGGGCCGGTCTTCACCAATTTTTATCTATAAACTCCGTTTGCCGAAAACAACCTTAATATGACCAATATACTTTTTTTGGTAAATGTCCTTTCGTTCTCCAATGTTAAATTTTACTCTTGTCATTAAACTGAGAAGAAAAGGTTTCTACCCATACCAGAAATATTGTCATTAAGATATTTACATCTTGAACCTTCACTGGCAAGACCCATTTCTGACTGTTGCATTCTTATCCATAATTCTTCAGATTATTGACCATTGTCTCCCATCCGACAGAGCGCAAATTCTATTAAGTCGGTGAACAAAAAACTTCAAGCATAAAATGCTGCAAACTATACAATCATTGCAAACTAAATTCTCGCGAGACTTTATGCTCATTCAATATTTTAGTAATCGTTAGAAGACCAAGTTACGTTGAACTGTATTTCTGACAAATAGATCTATTTACTCTGAAAGGTTGCTTTGAAAAAGTTGGCAAAAAACAAATTTTATAGCTAGATGCATCTTGTTGTAGCAACTAAAACCAGATTATAATTCTTAATTTTTGAAGTAAATACCTCTCTTTAACGAACTCCCCTCTGTATATATTGGTATAAGTTTTTAATAATAAATACTGTAGATTGTCAAATTAATAATTACTTAAATGGCCGCCAAAAAAATTTCCAATGTGATCTCTTTACCTCGATAAACGTGAATTTGATAACAGTCAAAAGAAATTTTGCAACGAAAAAAGCTGTAGCTACACTATTAAATTAGATGATCAAAATACTACTGTTTTTTACATGTAATAGTCGTATCGCAGACTTTCTCATATGACTTTAGCAATTAACTATACAACAGCTTGTCATTGTCTTGCAGGAGATACCAAGGCCTTAAGGAAGCAACTCTACTCGCCCAACCTATTCCCTGTTCTTTGGTGTTGAAATTTCAATCGACTACATGTTAAGCGTATAATGTGCCACATATTTTAATGTCAAAGACTTTCTCCTGCTATGTTAGGTACTTCCATCTCTTTAAAAACTCTATACTTTTCATCTTGTAATTTAACACTTTCCTTAAATGTAAGCGACTGTTTTACAATGACGTGTATGATCCATTGGTTGTTGGAGTAGCTGTAATTTCCAAACTGGTAGCTTCATTTCGATGGTATGTGACGGTTCCATCGAATTGCTTGTTCTGGCAAAGAAAAATGCTTTTCCAAAGTGCGAGAAATGACCGTCGATACTTTGGAAGCCGCCAAGCATATACGATAGGATTTATAGCAAAATTAGCCGAGAATAACGGTGTCAGGTACACAGGAACCAACAGCAAATTCTCGTGAACGCAGTCGACTCCGCAAAAAAGTGCCAGTCCATATATTACCTGATAGTGAACAATTGTTGGAACGGTTGTAATCACCAGAAGTGCTATCAACATAAAAACGACTTTGGTCAACTTTGTTTCTTGTTTCATGTGGTCTTTGTGTTCCCTGTTGACCTGATTCCATCGGTTCGCCAATAATTTCCCATAAAATATTGTCACCAACAGTATACAGAGCTCGAAGAATGACGACATCACGAATACCTGGATGTTCTGATTCTTACCGGAAAGAGAGATCAATGGTATTCCTGAAGTAAGCCAAATTGTTGCAATTGCACAATAGGTTCTACGCTTTGTCACGATTCTATTCGCTGACCATATGTACCGAATGGCAATGTATCTTTCTAACGACAGCAATACAATTGTGAGGAAAGACACGGTGTATCCTAACCAAACAAGATAGAAGAATATTGTAGTAACGACTTCTGAAGCCCATTTCCAATACGCAGTATTCCAAAGTAACAGCATCGAGGCAGTGAAAAAGTCACTCAAGGACAAATTCAGTATCAAACTCGATGCTACATTCCGTAAGCAGCCTAAAGGATCAACAGCAAACACTAACATGAGAAAGCCGTTAGTTAGTAGCCCACAGATACTAATTGCTATTGTGGTGTATATGACTAGCTCAATTAACACTTTCTTCTCGTTATCAGCCATAGTCGTATTGGATTCATTTCTTGTGGTGAAGTTCATCTGAAAACAAGAAAATTTGAATATAACTCATGTTGGCCGCAATGTAAGGACAATAATATGAATAACTTGAAACGGCCCTTTTCATGCGCTTTTCAACTGCTTGCATGTGCTTGCATATATATTTGCGTTTTTAATCCAAAGTTGCACTTTCAAAATGTTTGTCACAAAAAGTATGACATCTCTTTCAAGGATAACAAAATTAATGTCAAATGAATCTCGTTCTTTCGACGCGTATTTCTTGAAGAAGTGCAACAAAGAATATAATTTAAAGCTTCGTTAAACATAAAATCACTTAAAAAACACAAAATTCATACGCAATAACGACGTGATAAAGCATTTACAAATCAATCATTGAATGTACGACGGAACAAAGTGTGTTTTGGTCTGAAAATGTTGATGAACTATAAGACAGCTTTCATAATTTAGTTTTTATTTCTGCTCATACTTTAGCAAAAAATATGAGCACAATATATTTAGCAAGTAATTACTTAGCAGTATATATTTGTGTATATACACGTTTATGTATAGGCAATATACACAAGCTGCATTTGAGATCGCGTTAAAAGAACGATTTACCTCGTGTGTCAAACAATGAACCGCTTGCTGATAACTGGTGTCTGAAATTTAATTGAGTTCGCTGCGTATGAATTTGCTTAGCCCCAGTAAAGAGAAGGTCTTCAGATTTAGTTTAAGATTGTAAACGCTTATTTTTTCGTTGATTTCTGTACATGTCATTATGTGAGAGCCTGGCAGCTGTTTGAATTAATCATAACTCTAATATTAATTACTTTAGCTGCGTTTTCAGCGCTCTATCTTATATCTTTCCAAATGAGGGTTTCTCTACGATTGCAGTGCAAAAATGATATAGTTATACACAAAACATGTAGGCAAAGTAATTTCATTGATATTTAATTCTCAGTCTCCTCGCTTAAGCAAGCTTTATCGTCAGGGCCTTCGTAAAAGTCTTCTTTGATCCATGATATTACTCATAAATTGTTGCAGAACGGCCTTCTATGTTTCTTTTGTCGCTAAAACTTAATACGTTGTGTCTGCACACTATTTTTCTTCGGTTGATTTTTTTGCTATATTTCTCTTAAGGAATATTAACAGTTTATTTTTGTTAATGAAATACTAATTGGGTTTTTTTTGAGGCTTTTAACAAGCCACAAAGTTTGCAACGCGTGCTGCTGTCAGTTATGTGATGAGTCTTTGGCTATATTGGGTAGTTAACTAATAAATGTGAAGTTCAAATGTTTTTGATTTTTTTACTGTTTTAGTAAATGAAGGATTATAAGTACCTAATGTGCTCTGTTGTGGAAAGTTAGCGCTATATATGTGTTTTGTATACAAGTGGAATTTTGTTATGTTTACTGACTTTTAGCTAAATTTGAGTTTTGGAAATAAAACATTTTCTCGACTGATAGGAAATTCAAAACTGAAATTATCAGAAAATACGAGTGAAAAAAACGTTTATAGCGATATATCCAATTTGCAAATATTTTGGGCAACATTATTGTTTTATTATTATAGGTAGACAGAATGCTGTTTCTTAAAATCATTAGCTATGATACATAAATTGTGTTTTTAAACTGTGATGTAGCTATACTATATTCATGGTGATTGGTAGCTATGAAATGTTAGCTATATACCTTTAAAGCTAAAGTATAACGTGTTGAAGAATACAAAAAAGTTTCACCTATCCATTGTGGACTTTAACAAATTAAAAACCACGCGATGTTATCCAAATTTCATTTATGAATGAGGCGGATAAGTGAATCGGGATATCTTCCCCCGTTTATAAGTACACGCAAATCGAGAAACTTGCGTTTCGGCTACGAAATTAACATTTGAAAAACTTTAGCATTATAGTTGATAAATTAAAATTTTCAAGTTTATGTTTTTGAAACGTGTGAGTTTAATCGATTTTAGAATCTTTGTTTGACGCAAAAACTCGAGTTATCTTAGCTAAAAATACGTTCACGCATAGGTGTATCAAAAAAATCCTTGTACGAGGCCGGAAATTCTATGCAAAAGCTTTACATTCTAAATAGATTCGAAAAGCAATTCGATTTCTATCATTATTTGAGGAAATTAAAAACCAGTAGCGTTGTTATGAAGCTGTTTGATTATATAATTGAAGGCTGCAAATATCTATTTGTCCCAACGTTTAATTAATCCTCCTCTTTGCGCGTCAATACTCATGAATACAAGTTGTCGATAACGATTGACACAGCTGTATATGTATGTCTTTTGGCTCAAGTATACTTTAGAATACGACAATATTTACGAGAATATCAAACTTGTTTCAATCTTCTTTATGCATGTCTGATAATTTATAAATTCTGAAGTACTTAATATGCAATCGTATTTGCTGATGCCATTTTATCGCTATGGATTTTCTTTTTGGACATAAGTACACAAATGAACCGTAGCTCGTTAACTTTTCGGACAAAGAAGTCGTAGAAAAAACAGAATCGAATCAATGACTGGTACTGCAAAATACCTGAAGTTTCAATGTGGTCGTAAAACTTGTCTATGGTATTATATAAATCTTCTTTGCGTTGTTGAAAATTAGCTATTTATACATGACAAGTAAGTTCTCCCCAAATGTCGTGAAAACGCGGTTTTATCATTCAGTGTGAAGTGCGCATTTTGTAATTGTTATCTCTATGATTGTATAATGCTAGAAAAGTTTTTTGTTGTTGGCAGCTGTAATGGATGTGATAATCTTTCATCTTCGAATCTGCGCCATGCGTGTGCTAGCTAGTATACAGGGACCAGTTTGATCAAGATTCAGTTTATTTGTTTTCCAAAACCCAAAAGAGACAGGGAGTAAGATTTCTTTAATTTTTAGCTACGTCGATTGTGCGCGCTGACAACGCTGCCGAATTCTTTATGATTTTTCTTATTTCGATGCTTTCATCGCTCGATTGCATCTTTGCTTGTAAAGGTACTTATGTCGCAAGTGAGGCTTACCCTTAAAACATGAAACTCCAGAAATGTTTTCGTTGTGCCTCGTACTACAATACTACCCCTATTTTAAAACATTCTGATGTCCAACTAACATTTCATGATGGTGAGAGGGGTCACTGGGACGTAAGCAATGATAGGTACATATATTGATAGATAGATATGTAAATGGATAGTAGTAAGTTATCGACGAACTGTGGAAATCTTATTACATGTACCGTAATACGTAAGGGAGGATTGCACGAGAAGCTTGGATAGCGTTATCCATTTGATAGAAAAATTTTAAAACTTGTAAAAAAGGAGTTGATATTTTCCTTAAGACAAAACAACTTTGTAACTTAGAAGCAATATTTTCTTAGAAGCAATATTTCATTTCATTGATTGCTCAGCTCAAATCGTATATGTTTCCCTTTTAAGAGGTTTTTTAAACCTTCAAAAAAATTTGGTATCCAGTGGATAGCACTAGTCGGCCTTTGTGCAACCGGTCCCTGAAGTTTCTAAATACAGTCACTGCTACCACTTAGACGAGTTTTAGAGTAGAATGAAATATTTGAATGCTGATTGTGCTTGAAATATGGCGAAGTCGTTAATTGCTCAAGATTTGCAATGATCATACTTTTGCTTAACTTTAGATAAAATCAGGCAGTGTTGGGTTTAGACGACAAATCAACATAGTTACGTTTTAGCGAGATGTTATTAAACTCTTTTGCCAAGAAAATCAAAATGAGTTCACCACTTAAGTCACCGTAAGCGTGTTAAATTGTCTCGGTAATACCATAAAGATGAACAGTCACAGATCTGGTTCAAGCCGAAAATGTTAAATAGGTACCAGTCTTTGAGCGGCCAAAGTATTGTTCTTAGTTAACTATAAAATTACGATGTGTAAATTATAGTCCCCAAAATGTATATTGAAATTTGAAATTAAAAATTTCCTACAATTTTTAATAGATTTCTTATTTTTTAGCGAATTTTCTATGAGTTGATACTTTTTCCAGAATTTTCTTGCCCTCCGAAATGTTGCGCATGCTGTTGCAAATTACATAATTATATATGCCACAATCACTCAAAAGCTCCACTATTTTGACGTATGTACTGTCACCACTACATGGTGTACAAAAAATCCTCATCTTTGAAATCCGCATGTGTTAAAGAGTTATCATGATTCAGGAATAATTGATCCCAAAAGACCTGTAAACACATTTGAAAACAGCAGTACACACATATTGCCCATTGCGGATACTCCACATTCCGAATACCAAGCATCAATTCTTTCCAATGACGTAACACGCCTTCTTTGGGATAATTTCTGAATCATGAAAATTCTGAACGTCGGCGAAATTCAAAGATGTGCATTTTTTATACACCCTGTATAATTAGCTATAAAAGTAAACAGAATTAAGATTGTTTCTCCAGCTGGGCTTTTAAATCAGTTTTATATTATCTTAAATAACATTACGGGTGGAGGCCAGGGACGAAACTCAAATGCAAAAAATGCAGTTGGAAAAATGGTTTCTGCTTACATGCAGAGACAAATGTATGATTTCTTGTACTCGTGTTTCGCGAGTTTTTATAACTGTTGCTTGATTTCTGCGTGTTTGGATCAGATCATCGAAACACGAAACCATTTAGTAATTGCTTATTCATTGTTGGATAAATAGTAAATGGCTGTTTTTATTTTGGATCGTTCCTCTTCAGTATCAACTTCGTACAATTACCTCGTGCATGAAGCAAAACTTACCCAAAAGTAGAAACCGAATTCAGAGTGGTGAAGTTTAAAATATGTTTGTGTTCCATGTTTGAAACTTTGACGAAGTAATTAAAATTGAATCAGTTAACTAAAACGACTTTTTTGATTTTTAGGATCTCATTATTGTCTTTCGGAAACAAAGTTGATAACATACAGGAGAAGACTGAATTGAGTTTCGCTTTCTCATCGAGGCGATTGTTCAAATCCAAAAACAGCACTTGTCGACTGTCGACACGTATATGACCTTACGACCTCCCACATAAATTTTGCATATAACTGGCAATCCCATTTACAAGCACACAAAGCAAAATACAAACCACAGGTACAAAATAATACACGTTGTTTTGCTATGGATTCAATATAAATATTTATTTAAGTATTTTCTAAGTTTGCTTGTTCAAAGAACTTACGCTTTCACACAAAACATGTTTTCGCTACTCGCTAGCAAAATCTTGCAATCACAAACTGTTGCCAAACTCACAATGACATGCAGACGCAACGGAAATTGATTGTCTTTATGTTGACGATACGATTGTGAAGAAGGATAAAGTCAAAATTCCACACAATTCAAATCAGAAAGTATTTTTCTAACGTAACAATTTCAAGCATAAACGAATATGTAATTTTATAAAGTGTACGTTTATGCACGGTAACCTTCCTCGTGAGACTCTGATGAATGAGGTTTCATAAACAACGCACATCTTTAGGAAATTATAATTCTCTTTCCTGCATGGCGATTGTATCATGAGAGCATTTTGTAGATTATATGATCTATATGATTGGCATATATACACTGCTTGCATTTAACTCAACACAAATAAGCACAAATATCAATATTGATGCAAGATGGCTTAGCAATAGCGCATTTGCTCTACAATAAAGTGGCATATATCCAATGGAAAATACTTAATCATGCTATTGGTCGCCTTTGCAAAGCGCCAAAATGGATAATTTGAATTTTATTTTCATGAAATACATGAATTTTGCTTTGCTAACGTTGAAAGAACTCAAATTCATTGGCTTTGACGACCATGCAAGTATATAATCATAGCTCCCAGCATTTTCAGTGCTTCAATGCTCACAATTTCAAACCAACCATAAAGAGCCTTAAAAATGTAGCATGTCTCTGTTTATGGTTGGATCCTAGGTAGCAACGACTCCTATGAGCTAATATATCATCATATAGTTATAGATTGGCCAACGCATTTAAAATAAGATGACGTGGTCCATTTTTCTAAGGACAAGTGAGATCTATACAGCACTAAATTTTTCAAAAGCCCAATCCAATTTTACATTACAAATAACTTTACAATTGCACTTTACAATTGCAGAATTTGCGGTGAACGTTACCAAATCGCCTTCAGTCAAGGAAATAATTATTATGCTTAACAACTCTCATTAACTCCAAAACAAACACTTACCTTGAACACTCGAGAGACGAGATGCAATCACTTGAAAATCTCGAAAGAAAGTAAGTCTTTACAAGTGGCGCTCGATTATTTTAACGTGGCGTGCTTAGATTTTAAGCAGCGCAGACGAGCATGCGCAGAAGCTGCTTGCCAATCAACAATTAGAGTTGGAAAGGTAGTTAAGCTCGACCAAATCCAAGAAATGTCCTAAAAAATCATGAAACGAATTTTTCCGATCTAGATATAGATTTTGTCATAGTAGAAAGCACAATATTTGAGAGCATTATAAATTGTTTATTTATGCACTTAATACATCAATTAGTCACCCTGACTGCTGAGCACGACCAGCGTGACCGCGAACTACTCTACCTTTTTTAATAAAAATTGAAAAGTTGTTGGCACTTAGCACACAATGACACGCAGACAATGGCGCCACTGAGCACGTTTATTTTCGGGGTATTATGTTTTAGGTAGAACTGTTTGTATATATTGATACGTAAAACAGTGTCTTTTTTATCTAAATTGCAAATGTTTCAAACTTTTTTATTCGATGTTTATGGTGAGCCTTGTCGAAATAGAATTCATTATTCATGGGATAATAATTAGGAAGCCTCTCATTCCTCGTGCTTTTAAATGTGATTTTTCAATAATGTATGATGTAATGTTAATTTGTTACATAATTATGTTCATTTAGAAGGTTACTAATGATAAATGATTGCGACAAAGTATAGCGTTGAAAAGTGTCCCTGAAATAGAATTTCAATCACACTGGTGGCCTGTCAATATTTTCTACAATATTCTAAGTCTCACATACTTTTTGATTTGTTGCGTTGGGCAAATGGCAAAATATGAATTTTTCAAAATAACTGCCATCTTAAGCACGACATGTAGCTAAAATATCAATAGTTGCTCTATTTCAGTCAACCGAATCTTTACTTGTGTAACTACTAACTCTCTTGTAATCTTGTTATCTCTAATAATGAGAAGAAGAATTTATTGGTAAAGATAGTTCACAAAAAAACGCTGTCAAAACACAGAAAAATTTAACCGAAACAACAGAGAAAGCTGAAAATTTTTTCAATGTGTGTTGACACTCATATGGGGAGCTTGGCCAGAAGCTATATTTTTCATTAAAAATAGATTTTGGAGAATGCTATATATTTTTTTGACATTGCAATAGTTTTTTGACAATATCCAAGGATTAATGTCTTCCTTGTGGAATTGTACGTATATTTAAGAATAATCTATCTTATGCAAGATCCCCATCTAAAATTCAAATAATGTTTCTTTAGTTGGCACCCTACTGTTCATCTCCACGTGGCGAGATCATAAAAGAATCAGGCGTGCGTTTGTTTAACATTTAACATTATTTATTTATTGTTTTAAAGAGTTTCCCAACATAAAATGTTTAATATGTCGATCTATAAATTATTTAATGTTTTGTGTATTTTTCTTTTAAGAGTAACGTTTTGTCTTTTCCTATGAGTAGACATTCATAGTTCGTTTGAGTTGGACGATGATGACAGGATATTGGTGTCATCTAAATCAGCTTTCCTTTGTGGACAAACACACTGGCGATGATTAGTCTAGATAAAATTTTTTTGAAAAATTGCCAAAAGTCTAGTGTGATCCACTTACGGTGTAAAACAGTCACTGGCAAAGCCAACACAAAAATTTTGCCATGCTCTAAATTTTTTTGTGTTCGTTCATTTTTACAACAATAGATTTATGAAGAAATTGATATTGATAATGCTTTGAAATTTACCAGTTGGCTACGTTACTGATTAACACAGTGCTGATATTTGCAAAAGAATACAACAAGCACCAAATTTTGAATAAGATTATGAAAAAGGTGGAAAGTGAAACTCTTTCTGGCTATTTAAAACTAAAGACGAAATTTATTGTAAACTGTATGATCTCTTTGATGAATGATTCACGAAACTAAGAAACGTTTCTTTGTAAGTGGTACGAAGCTATGGAAGTTAGCAAAAACACTAGTGACAGTGGGTTTTAACAGAAGTAGAAAACACACTCTTATATGAAGTCATTTTAAGGTTGAGAAAGGGAAAATCACCCTCATTCTGATATGAAATGAATCTTCAGGATTGTTGGTTGAGAAGTTAAGAAAGAGAGATATTCCACCATATGACAGAAGTACATCATCATCACTGTCTCCTTCAGCCACTACAGCAGAATTCTTCGTCATGAAGGATTCTATCAACACTCGAACATTCATTTTATTGTACAAATTGAGCAATAGCTATGAATTGAAATTTATGTGACCTGAGTGGCAAAAAAACAGCCCACACAAGAAGTGTGTAATCAGTGTGCCGTATATGATGGAGTTTAGGGTGCTTTGAATGTTAAAATTTTGATGTAAATCATGAACTTGTGCTTTTGGAAGAGGACCTTATCGGCTGTCACTGCTATGTTTCAAAACGATTTTTCCGGAAGTTAACAAGTTAAAAGATATTAAATCCTTTGTGTGGTCTGTCACAAGGAAGCTCAGAATAATATCAAGCCGTTATTATTTCGTATGATGTGAACTGAGGAAACTCCAATTAACCTTTGAAGAATTAACTTAAGACTATATGCATATATTGTTGCATTTTTATTGGCTTAATTTTAAAGCCATCATCATAGAATATGCTTCTTATGAAGCAACAAAGGCCGTGCGCTGATTGATAAATAGGGGTACGCTCATATTCATATAAGCATGCCATAATCAGCGGAAAACAAGGGACTTCATTGCGATTAATTGTGTTGGTGACTTTGAGCTGTGTAAATCTGTTTGAAGATAAAACAGAGACTTTGATTTGGTGTTTACTATGGAAGATCTTGAAGCTGTACAGATTGTTTAGATGAGAAGTACCTACAATTAATACATAACACTACGAATAGCTTTTTGAGAAATGTACCAAAATTTCCCAAGATATAACATGTCACACCTACTTTCCAGTCAGGTGCACAAATCCCACAAAACTTTGCGTGGTGTTTTACGTTTTTTCAAATTTAAGGGGGTTTTCATCATGCATACTCATCAATAGTTTCTGTATTTGTCATTCACTTCATGGCTTTCTGCTTTGAAAAAGCTCATTGAAATAATTGGCAATTTATATGGAGCCAAAGATACAAAGATACTGGTAAATGAATGCTTCTTAGTGAGTTGGTGTTGATGCTTTGTGTTTTCATGTTCGATGTTAGTACTATTATATTATTTTTTTATCATCATGTATTTATATAACTTTCAGTTGAATATTACAAGCAATTACATGATCTTATAGTTTGACGCTGTATCATTAACATGGAATCAATTGGAAGACTTGAAAACGAAATGACAATGAAAACATATCCATTGGTGAAGTTTCGGGATTTGTCCACTGATTGTCGCAATCTTTTAATTCGATGAGAAACAACAGATTATTTCATAATCGGTGTAATCTGTATCGTAGAAAATATGTCACTCTCGTACTATTTAGCTGACAGTGCATACAATTAGACGTCATTTTAATATGATGTTATCTTGTCATACCCAAAATACTATATTTTGTGCAGGTATTTTACTTTTTCATAAACAACGTCGTATGTTTGCGGTAGTTTTCTTTCACTATTCAGACAGTAAAAGCATACTAAAGTTTGTAACAAAAATTTATCTGGAGTTTTCTGGAAGAATTTCTCTTCACTTTTGTAAGGGGCTGATTACATGAGCCTAGTAGCCGGGATTCAATCAAGCGTTAATTGATTTTTGCAAATGGAAACGATTCAATAGCTATCATCAGATAAATCTTTTCAAGCAATTTCACAATATTCTGATCTAATAACTTCTGAAAACATTTAAAATTGAAACAACCAATTTGCCATAATTTGAGAATTACAACTGGAGTGACGTGTAGTGCTTCGCAAACAGTTGTAATTTTTAACCTTGAAGTTTTGGCTCCTTTCAATGCCTTGAAATCATCGGGCTAGCTCGCTATACGGGCCAGCTTGCCTCCATATAATCAGGCCCTAAAACCTATGTGTGTTCTATTTATTTACTATTCATTTGGAAAAAACAGTGAACAATAAATTATACGTTAATGATGATGAGAGCAATGGGACTGCCTTATTCTTTAAAATAGTCGTAGAAAAAATTAGGTCAATACCAACTGCTTTATTTTTTATAGTTAGTGGAATGAACAGTGACATGCTAGCAACTCCTTAAACAGCTGTGTTTCTACGCCAATGATAAATATAGAGCCTGCATTATAAATGTAAAGTACAATGTCATTATTTGTCAATGATGAATGTTGGTGATGTTTTTTTTTCCAATACACTTTAGTAGAATGTTAATAGTATTCTATTGCAAATGTTGCAACTCAAATAGTGCAAAATATTGCAATTTAAATTGATTGGTTACTCTACTTGCCATCAAATTTTCAACACAGCGTTAGGTATTTAAATGCAAAACATACAAAAATTCAATTAAAACAGCTAAACATGCATTGAACAAGAGTTTAATATATACAATACGTCAACTTCGACAAATGCATAAAAAATAAGGGCATCCAGCTTCCTCTTCATCAAGTATCGTATCATAGAAATCTTAAGCTTGTAGCTAATTGATAAAATACAATAGTATTTGTTAAAAATAGTCCCTCAGAAGTTTCTAATAGTATCCAGCGCATGTATATGCGTCTATAGAGACAAACGTGTATGGAGACAAACGCATATCATAAAGCCACAAACGTCAAAACCACAGCTGTCTTTTTCTTCAACATTTGACTACTTATTCAATGTTTTTATGTGCTTGGTACAAACACACACTTAAAAATTTTTTAGTATCAAAATGAGGTCTTCATACACAGAGTTGGGATGTAGTACAATATTAGCAGAGAGCAGACTGTCCAAGTTATTGGTTTTGAGAAGCGAGAACAAGCAACAAACGATTTCATTTTTGGTATGTTGACATTATCTATATTTTAAGCCAGTTTCAAATAAGAGCCGAAAGATTACAGCGTAAGTAAATAATTGTTATTTTTGCGAAACATACTTGATGATATTTTAATGAAAGATAGCTTTATTGTGAGGACGGCATTTCTCATCCTTTTCTCTGCATGTGATTGAAATAAGGCAACCGTTACATGCTGTGTTTCATACTGTGATAAAATACTGTTACATTGATCATAATGGAATAGAAAAAATTTGACAACACGAAGTCTAAAAAAAATTTATGAGGATTGTTAAGAATGTTGTTTAAGCTTTCTGTCTATTATAATGGGTAGGTTTATCACTTTATTGCAAGCAATGTAACGAGCAATTTTTGTGAGTAGCCTGTGCGCAGGAAAACCACATTGTTAAACTGCAAAAAAGTAGAAAAAAGACAGCTGACCGACCGACAGGCTTAAATCCATATTATCGATCTTTGTTTGGACTGGATGAAGGCCCAAATTTACTTTTGTTCAATATACAGGCTACTTGAGGAGACACCGGCCAGAAAAAAATATGACGTCTTTACCCTTCACTGACCCATAGATGACAGAGTGTGAAATCTGCTTTGCAATCTGTATAGAATAATATTATCGACGTCGAGGTTTCACACGTCCTCACTTTCAATTCACGAAGTACTGAGAAAATGTAGACTTTCTGTGCTCATATAGCAACTCCACACGCAGACATGACTAATTTTCCAACTGAAAATAACCGTATATATCCACAGTTGGTAACCATTAACCCTTTCCAGTCGTGGGGCGCCCTAATTTACCATCGTTTACGGCGTGGGACGTCTCGCAGACGCCCTCACTAGATACCTTTATATTGCATGTTTATATCAAAAAACCACCGCCGAGACTGCGTTTGCAAGACACGTAACACTTTTTCGTGAATTGCCGACAGTAATCGGCCTTTTCTCAAAATGGAATGCTAAAATATGGTGTCTTCAAAGAGAAAGCGCAGCTCTACGTTCGAAGTTTTATCAGCTGTTCTGGAAAGTCAGAAGAAGATTGTTTTAGTTTTTTTGATTTTATAAATCTGATAAATTCCCAATAGTACAATTGTTAGAAATGAATAAAAGAATAACATACTCAATGTGTACTTGAGTATAATCATCAAATGGGTGATTTAGACCTTATGGACCAACAACTACATTCGATCATGTCGGAAGACATATAAATGTCCTAAAAAGGTGGCAATCAACCTCATTATGCTGGGCTGTCTTAGTGCAAGCGAGCTGTACAATAAACACAACAACAAGAACATACCTTTCTTGAGTTTTATGCATGATCTTATTGCCATTCTTTTAACATCCAGCCCAAAACTAAATCGTCCAATTATTCAAAAAGAAACTGTCCATCGTCTTGCAGGACGCAACTTTCCTGTTTCAAGATCAATTCAACAAGGAGGAGGAAGGAGGAAAACAAAGAAATGTTGTGTGTGTTATGCCAGGGGTATAGAAACAGCCAGTGGAATAGCTATTGAAGTTAACTCAGTGTGTAGAGTTTGCCCTTCACACCCTGGTCTACATGTTAATTGAGACTGCTTCCTTGTATACCATACTAAAATTGATTATTCTTGTCCACCTGAGGCACTAGGAGACTTCTAGCTAGTTTTGTAAGTAGAAAAATGACTACAGTAAAGTAAGTGAATTATGTGGGTGAATAAACTATTATAAACAGGCACTTGCAAAAGAAATATGTTGTAGTATTGGGTAATTATTCCAGTTTGGCGGACATGTTTGATCACATGACGGGTACAAAATTGTTTACGTATTTTTTTTCCTTTAATTTTATGTTAGCTATATATGTCTTCTAGTATGGTGTAAAACTTTGTCTCACGAGCATGTATATTTTGAAAAATATGCCATTTTAAGTGATTGAGGTAATTTTAACAAAAACTTCCTCCAGCCTGAGCGTATGGTAATGCTCTAAACTGGAAAGGGTTAAAGTGGATGCAAAAAGCAAACTGCTACATCAGGGAAACACTTAACAAACCTGACTCATCCATAAATTGATATATCAATAAACATAATCTAATATTCTTATTTTTTGTGCACAAAAAATACGTTTTGTCAAAGAATTGAGCGAACAGCAGCATTTTCAGGTTCAAGCCTTGCCTTCTCTGTTGATCATCGTGGTATGCTGCAGACAAAAATTTTCACTTCTGTTGAAGATCTTTACGGTCTAAATTTTATTATAACCAAGTCTTTAATCAAAAAGATTCATACGTGTTCATTCAGTTTGTAAGTGCTAAATTAAAATGACCTTGTTTAGAACTAGAACGAACGTGCTGATCTTGAAAATTTTGGAGCAGTCGATTACCTTAAAAAGGATGAGAATTCTGTCCAACCTAGCTTCTTACTTGCCCTTTGTGCCAAATTTTAATCTGCATCAATAGGTTGTAACATTCATCTTGTTGTCAAAAATACTGACCTCTCGGTGAAATGAATGGCTTTTTAAACTCATAACTATACCCTATGACTAGCATGCTAAGATGGAAATTTTTACATGTCGGTAATTGTTTTCTAGCTTTGGTTTTTTAAGCAAGGTTATCATTGCACTACTGTTAATTAATTAGCTAGCTTTGGTTTTTTAAGCAAGGTTATCATTGCACTACTGTTAATTAATTAGCTACAACCGTAAAAAAGACATTTTTGCCAAGATTTAAAATTTTTCCTAAAACGTCGAATTGCCTTGTTTAACGGTCTAATGCCTGCAATTCTGTGGCCATTGGAAAGTCAATCAAGATACTCCAATACCTAAACTTTATTTCTTTAAAAGTCAAAAGCTTAATTTTATCACTTATTATATCTGATATTTACTTGCAATAACTACAAAAAGTGGATCGTTCAAATTGTGGTCCTAAAAGCTATAGTTTTGTAAGACCATTAGAAAATCCGCCTCTGACTGAATGTGCAAACAAAAAAAGAACTTACATAGCGTACTTTTAACCACTTTTAACAAAGACATATTAAACGAAGCTTACATGGTAACAATATTTCTATTGCCATTACTAAAAAAATGCAGTAATCCACATCTGTTTTAGTGACAATAGTCAAGATCAAATAACTCAAGATGTCACACAAATGCAGCCTTTGCATGCAATTTGAAACGTCAACTACAACTCGTTGTCAATTCAAGCTACCCACAAGTACGCTCTCGTACCTTCTTTTTAATATCCATGCATCCGTTCCATTGAACTGAAATACATGGAACGCTACCTGTTGTAGAAAACCCGAATAATTTTTTGAAGCCAAATTTTACACCCAGACACGAAAGATTACATCCAGACACGCGTGTGTAGTCAATCAATTTTCACTCCGCGAGAGAATCTCCAAACACTACACGTGTGTCTGGGTGTAATTTCGTGTGTCTGGGTATAAGATTGGCTTCAATTATTTGCTTCAGATAGCGTTTTATGTATTTTAGTTCAATGATCTGTTTTCATTTGTTCTCATCCGGATGCATGCATCCGTTAATTAAAGAAATTGCACGTAAGATGTTTATTTAATAATTAAAATTCGATCTTCAGTCATGGGATGTTCGCACTGCTTTTGCAACACAAAGGCGATATTTCCATTAAAAATATTTGCTATGAGCAGAGTCCTCAAAACTTCTGGGTCAGAGGTGAACGCTCACAACGCCGCCCAATATCCCCAACCAACTTTAACGGCTCTGATTAAATGTGATTGAAAATAATGGCAATTTCAATAACGCGACAAATACCGTCAAAACTCCAGTTAAATTTACAAGTTAGGACAATACTTTACTCCGTATTCAATAACATCACCTTCTGACTTCATAAATTGAAAATCGATAGAACGAAACGAAATTCAATATTATTTTTGGCAAACTTTTTATTAAAGATTCAATATTGTTTATAAGTGATGAGTTTAAGAGAGATGTTGAACCTCACCCCATCATCTTCGATCGATCTCCTATTGACTATTATTTATTTAAAATGTTTGTTAAGTCGTCATTTATGACTTTGTGTTTCAGGTTTCTTTGAAATCAATAGCTACATATTTTAACTGCAAATCTGAAACTTTTTGCGCGTGAAAACTGAAGAAAAGCTGCAGAAAATAGCAATAAATTATTTATTATTTGATTTTTTGCCACTTTGTACTATAGACCAGCACATAAAGCATATTACTCACGAAAAATGTTGTATTTAATTATTTGCGTTGCAATATTATTATTCGACTACGTTTAGAGTAGCTTTCTGATTAGTTAAAACAGCAGGACATACTTTACATGCGTCAAGAACAATCTTGATCATCAATGATCAATACATATAGCTATGCAACAAAGACATTTGATAAAGAATTTAAATTAAATGTTAAAAGATGTGTGAAAGAAAGGGTAGAAATAACGAATATTTCAAGAATTATCTACGAAAGTCAAAATGAAAACTGGACATTTTTGTCTAGTTTATGTTACAAGTTTCTGTGTTTTTCCAAATACATGATAATCTATGTTATTTCTTTATATTAATAGAAAAGGAACGAACGGCAGGAAACGAACGAAACAAAATACGCCAAATTTTGTATCTAGCTAATTTGTAATAGCATTTGCTCTTTGCCACAGACTTTACGCTGTTGGCACTTCTGTCAAAAATTTTGGCACAGCTGTTACAGAGTTTTGTTTTGCTGTATATTTTTCACTCTCATCAGATAATCTATTCCTACTAGAAAAAATGGCATGCAATGAAAACTAAGCTAACTTATTTTAACATACGACGTACTCATGATATGACATACCTTTGGATGTTGCAAGTTTCTTAATAATAACAATGATTTTAGGCTGTTCTAGTTGCAGCAATGACAAAATGCTTTGAAATTTTTTATAGAATACGTCATTGCAGTGTTATTTCGTTTCTTATTATCGGCGAAGACAACCCTTATAGATCTCGGTGATAGTTGCTACCCAATTAATGCACGTAAGTAGCTATGTTAGAGATAACTATGACGTTTTTCATTTAATTGAAAGAGATGTTGATTTTCTTACAACGCAAATTATAATGCTCATTTGCCATGAGACATAATTCCAAATCAAATTACTGGCGTCACTCATCCTTACATTTAAAAAATACAACGTAAAATAACTACGTACGGCTAGGAGATATCGTCACTAAATGCCAAAGTTCTTTTTCTAAAAATCACCATGTTTAGTAAAATGCATTATTTTCATAGAAGTACAGAAGAAAACATGTATACAATCGCTTTTAAGATTAAGTATCGTGTATTTATCTTTTGTTATTAAGGAGAAACAAGACCGTTAATGAACTTCAGAGCCACTCCCTACCCTCTTTTGATCAACAGAAGTACAGTTTTCTTAACGTGTTCAACAAAAATATACTTATCAAAAATTTCAATGCAATGTTAACAGACAATCCACGCATAAAGGTGGAAAACAAGAAAAAAATACAGGCTTTATGTGGCGTTCTTTTGACTGTCGTTGATGAATTCCTTTTATTCAGACGTGGAATTGTATAGTGAGGCATGAATACTGCAACGAAGCAGAAATTATTTTTTTATGTTATACGTAATGTTTTTCTTACACAGATGGTTTGTTCATGATAAAGCCAAGTATTGCTTGAAAGAAGGAAAATTCAATCAATATACGGTGAATTTCTAGTAAACTAAAATTTTTACATTGTTATTAAGTTGTACGACAATTTTTTCATTTTGTTGCTCGAAGAAAGCTTATCTACTTTATCTTAGTTTTAATCGGTTGATTTACCAGCATTGTTCTTGCCACTAAATGTGATCAAATTACACCAAGTTGACAAGGTACCGTTTGGATATATTAACTTACAACCGACATCTGTGTTATTTGTTTCATGAAGAACATATACTTATCATCAGATAAATCTTCTCAAGCAATTTTACAATATTCTGATTTAATAACTTCTCAAAACATTTTGTTAAAAAGCAAACAAAAAAGTTATTTAATTGAAACAACCAATTTGCCCTAATTTGAGAATTGCAACCGGAGTGACGTGTGGTGCTTCGCAAACAGTTGTAATTTTTAACCCCGATTTTTGGCTCCTTTCAATCTCTTGAAATCATCGGGCTAGCTCGCTATCCGGGCCAGCTCGCTCCCATATAATCAGGCCCTACGAGGGAAAAAGGATGAATTTTGAATGGACCAAATTTTTATCAGACGTCACAAAGACCTATGCTTTGAAAACTTTGAAAATTTTTTTTTTCAAAATCCAATACAATAGACTTTTTAAATGAATTGTGACGTGGCCGATTATGAAAATCAATTGACCGTCTTTCAAAATCTAAGCTCGTTAAAAATCTCTCTATATTTTTACATCTTTGGCTAATTCCAACAGATTGTAAGTTTTGTCGCTGTCGGAGAGGCTTCATAAAGAATTGCTTGTGTTGTGTTTCTTTTCCTGCTGTTCCGATTAATCGTTAGTGGCCAAATATGGGCATAAAAACGTAGAAGTTACTTGCAACACATCTTGATTATTTGCACCTTCCATTTTGTAGTAGTTTGTAAGTGCTACCCACGTGTTGCTTAACTCCAACAGTATAGACACAAATCCTGAGTAATTCTGGTACTAAAGCTATATATCCCCATGTAAACATTCACACAACAAGTGATGTATTTATAAACAACAGCACTACATACAGCATTACATCGAAGATTGTTGTCAAGGATAACCAACTATAGGTTTTGATGTCAAATGCGTCCCTGAAAATCTCATTGATAAAACAAACAGACAATGATATCTATTTCTTCTACATGGACATCCAAAATACAAAGATTTACTGAATGAGAATGGGGTTTAGTTTGCCAGAATAAATGAGGGTGGAGAGAACTTGTGCAGATGTTTTTTTGGGAGTTGGCGTGTTAAAAAAGAAATAGCTATTTTGCTGTAATGGCAGTCGTAAAAAGTCAGTCATGTTAAAAAGAGGAAAACACTTAAGAGTTAGCAAATCCCTCTTTGTTTTTTCCCATAAGACATATCTTGAAAGAGGCTATATTTTTATAGTATTGTCGTTAGGGGCATATCCCTACAGAATTGTCGTTTGGGGCTATACTCTTACGATTTTAACACTATTGCTACTAACCACCTAACAGAAAATTGAATGTTGCATCGAAATGTTTCGCCTTTAGCATTCCTGAATGCAGTTTTTCAATCTTTTTGTAGCAATCAATTTCAATCTCGCGACTAAGAAGGCTAATTGGTCTGTACATAAAACATTTATGGATTTAAAACAGCTAGACTTGTGTTGGCATTAGCAAACTAAAGCCATTTCGAAGTGTCTTAACTTGCATTCTTCGTGCAATGATGTTCATTGGCGATTTGTTGACTTCTAATAAAAGCAATGTAGTGGTTGGCAAGTTTTGCGACACCGTGCAAAAATTCTATTCACATAAACGTGGACGATAGCTCCAAGTAGATCTCCATCAGACGTTTCAATCAGCACTAGTTATAATTATTTGTAGTGAGATGGAAAACTCGATCGTTTTTTTAATATTCTCCAAATTCTCCAATTTATCTGAAAAGTTGACACAATTATTGTCGATTTCAGTTAACTTTTCAAACGGCGGTTGCCAAGTTACTTTCTAATGTTGCCAACTACATTTCCAAATATGGAATATTCTATATGAACTTGTCAACTTGAGTTGACAAGTTGTGTACTTGAGTACTGAAGTTGTGAACTAAAATTGCGAAGTACTAGCAAACGCGAAAGGTCTTTGTACCCTGTAGACATTTGGCAATGAATCCGTTCAGTAAGCAAGGAAAAGCTTTAGCAATTCTAATCCGTTTGACGGCCCTCTAAGAGTGCTATAATGCGATACGCCGTTTACATTATGTAAAAAATTTACAGTAAATGTGGTACTAGAAGAATGTCGTTGGATTTTAAATGCAGAAGTACCCTGCATACTGTGACCTCGACGTCTGTTGCCACTCGTAACAACTACAGACGACTCATCAAAGAAATGCATACGGCTGCAATCAATCAATTAAATATTTGCTACGTAAGCTTCTAACTTCTCCATAACGTCCTGCCGTTCTGTCTCTCGAGGAATTTGACTTATTATCTTGTTAGAGTAACCAAGATCTTTTTTCGAAATTCTACTAATGGATGACCTGCTAGGTATGTTTGCTGGAAGGGAAACTTTGTTATTTTCTAGGTGTTGCTGAATCTCTTTTGCGTAAATAGATTGTTTATTAATTTTTAGATATTCAGCGTATGAAATAACTTCATCTGTACGCGTGGTTCGAACATCACGTCCGCCCTGGCGAGGTGCAATAGAACAAGTGTCTACCTATAGATCTATTATACTTGATATAGTCTTATACGATAGATTTAGTTGTCTCAAAATGTTTGTCAAGCACTGGTTATTTAACCACCTTTCAAGTATTTCATTTCTTACTTCTATTGGTAAAGCTTTTCCTTGCTTACTGAACGGATTCATTGCCAAATGTCTACAGGGTACAAAGACCTTTCGCGTTTGCTAGTACTTCGCCACTTTAGTTCACAACTTCAGCACTCAAGTACACAACTTCAATACTCAAGTACACAACTTGTCAACTCAAGTTGACAAGTTCATATCGAATATTCCATATTTGGAAATATAGTTGGCAACATTAGAAAGTAACTTGAAAACCGCCATTTTAAAAGTTAACTGAAATCGACAATAAATGAGACAAAACAAAAATTAATTACATTGACCTAATAGACATTTACACTTTCACAACAGCAATAGCCAAAAAATCAAAAATGCACTTAGTTACCAGATAGACTATAGTTATATAGGCAGAAAATGGTCCTTAAAAGTCAGGAAAGCTTAAACAATGAATGGAATAAAAATCATCATTTTTTTTATTCCACGATGAAGTTGTCATAGATGCTAAAAGCATAACACAGAGATTTAATCGTTATTTCTTTTTCAATAATTACCTGAAGGAATGACAAATCTATGAATTCCCGTCATCTATTCTTAACATTTGCAGAAGATCAAAACACAAAACATTGCTTTTGTACATTATACACTAAGTGTCAGCGGTAGCATCTTAGACATAATAGCATTGTAAGTTAAGCTACAGAAATAGATTTGTCAACAATAAGCAACCTGCTCCTTTCACGTCTGTTGATTAATTATCACTAAATTTTACAGATCAAGGAACGCGTTGGACATCTTCGAATAAAATCAACATCACTAACTAACACAATGAAATGTTCCGTTCTTTACAAACTCATCGAAGTTTTATTAATTCTTTACACTTTCACATCAGGTATGAAAAGATAAATACACTATTTAATTTAACGCATTTGGTTTGATTGGCTTTGGCAAAATTAGGTATAAGTAACGTTTTATGATTTTTGTCTTTACTCTTCTCCATTTTGCAATCCGCCTATTGACTAAACTTTTGTTAGATTATAATTTGCTGCGTCAAAGAAATGTAAAACGTGCGCCATAAAACCTTGTAAATTCTGTAATTACGACGATTTATTTGCAAATGATAATCTTGACAATTTCCATTGATGCATTATAAAAGCTGTTATTGAAAAAATCTAATGAAGCGAGGTTTGCCACAGTTTCTAAAACAATGTGCAAAAGCTTTTGAACAAAAAGGACGAAGAAAACACTAAAAATGCCACGTATCTGGCTTTGAACATATTTACAACATATTTAAAGGAGAAGAACTTCAATAAACTGTCCGACAAGGACAAATAAGAGGAGATTTTAAAAATGTTTCACCTCGATATGTTTTAAAAAATATTTCAGCTTTGCTTCAGTAGATAACATTGTCCTCAGTCTGCTTTCATGTTTGTAAAATAAACTGTAATAGAAACGTTGCGACTGATCATTGTGTAAAAATCATTGTATTAAATACTCGTTGTAAATATCATTGCACATATCTTTTTCTTTTTTAAAACAATTTTTTTAGCTTTTTCATCTAGCTATACACGATGTCAGTAGAGTGGGGCGTTGTTGATTCATCCTTGCTTCTGAGGAGAAATAAACTATTTGTATCTTATTTGCTTTTGTTTGGCTTGCTATAATGTTCACCCTTGCCTATTTTAAAATTAAAATCAAAACGTTGATGTGACTAAGTGTTTTGTCAATTTCTTCTGAAGCGTAATGTAACATGAAAACAGACTGGTTGTAAACTTTTCATTTCTTTTAGGCGAAGAAGAATTAAAATCCTGGGATAGTGAAGATTTCAAAAAAAGTTGCATGGCATTTCATAATTTTTTGAGAGTAGCGCATAACTCACCACCACTAAAATGGGAAGAAAGTCTGGAAGAGAGCAGTCAAGCCTGGGCTAGCCAACTTAATATCCGACAAGTAATATGGCATTACTTCTTCATTACGATTGTCTTATCCTGAAAATAAGTCAAACAGCAGAATAATGATTAAATACAATCCCATTTCTCTACTACAATAACTAGGAATTTATGTTTTGATAGAAATTGAAATCTCACTATATCGTACTCAGGGACTACGGAAGATATACAATCGGGGGCTCATATTCATACATGCATCCAATGTTGATAGGATAAAGTTGAATACACTTAACACATCTAATGGAAAGTTGCTCTTCTATGTTACTTTTAGATTATCAAAAGAGGGAATGTTACCCTACTCCTTTGAGCTTTTACATCCTTATATAGCGTTTAAATCGTCCACTCTCCTTCAGTCTGAACGACCTGGTGACCCTACTAGAAGATATGCAATGAAAAATATGCCTGCTAAAATTAAGATCAAAACTTTTAGACCCAAGAGCATCCGCCAGGAGCCGAATTTGGTTCGAATATCTTTCAAACTTCATCAATTACTGATATTGACTTGCTTTGCTTGGAGGCTGTTGCATTTTGGTATAAAGAAATTAATCTTTATGATTTTGACAATCCAAAATATACAAAAGAAACAGGTTAGATATAATATAAACATATTATAAAACAAAAATAGTATTTTCTTTGTTCTCTTTGGTGTTCTTTTGGGTTTAAATAATATATTAGACAGATTGTTTCTTTATGGATTAAGCCCACATGGCTTGTAAAAGTGTAGCAGCGCTTGATGACAAAGGCTTGGTGACAAAGTCTCCTTCTTCAAAAAGACCCCATCTCCCTTAATCACCTCTTTTACTTCATAAATCAATGATTTATAAATTGTTGTTTTTAAGCTTTCAAACACAAGTGTATAATTGTAAGTGTAAGTATATTGCTTTTCCAACACATGAAGCTATTATTCATATGAGGGTATTGACTTACATGAGGGTATTGATCTATCAGTCATCTACGTGGTGTCCCAAAAAAGACGCAAGCAATAGCCATCACCTGCTGTTAGAATGATAGTATTTCAATTCTTCTGTCAAACAGCGATGTAATGCATGCAAATGTTGACAGCTTACATGCAATCAACTTATATTTTAAAAACGCATTTTGTCTTAGACTCTTATTTTTGTGTTTTTTAGGGTCTCCCTGTAACCATGTTTACTTATGATTATTATAAACATTTTGAAGCACATACATTAAAATAAAAACTTTGAAATAGTTACATGGAGTGAATCATATTTTCAGTTTGTTCTCGGTTCTAGGTCACTTTACACAGATGATATGGAGGGATTCAGAAAAATTTGGAGTTGGTGAAGAGGGCCAAACAGGTCAAAACTTTTATGTTGTTGCAGCGTACTACCCTCCTGGAAATATGGATGGAGGATATGAAGATAATGTGCAAAGAGCACGTGAGTATGCCAGGGAGGTTTAAGAGGTACAGGAGGGCAATGGAAATAATTTCCACACATGATTATTTTTCAAAACTAAAGAATAACTCTTACAAGTTTAAAGTGAATAGTTTGAACACGGGAGAAACATTACATAATTGTAGATGTAGATCATCCGGGTTAGTTTTGGACTTGGTCTTAATGTTGTTTTGACAACCTTAGCGGTAGTCACTTGACTCTGAGGATGCCTACCACTAGGTCCGCTAAGACTGTCGTAACGTCAGTCAATATCATCACCAACAGTCCTTCTCACGACTCTACTAACCAGGATTTATATGCATCTACAATCATAATGATTTAAAGAAAAAACATAAAATAAGTAGATTTCAAAAAATAAATGAAAAATATAAAACATCAAAATATTTATATTTCTGAGCAGGATCTCTCAATGAATTAAATAAATGTCATGCATAATACTGTTTTCTAGGCAAACTACCTACATCGTGTATAAGAAAATTTGGAAATGACGAACATTTTGATCTGCTAAAGAACAAATTAAAGAAGTACAATATAAGAGAGTTGCTTTTTGAGGAGAGTGACGAACCTTGTGTTATTCCCACAAGAAATCATACCAAAGTATCCACACATACAAACAAGGGTGAAAAGGGAGTGTCAGGAGGCTTTCTCGTAGGTTCAACGGGTACAACAGGTAGGAAAACATAATTATTGATGAAACGTTAAGGTATATGAGCTCAATTTGAAATAGACAAGTAAAAGAACAAATGTTTAAAGATAGTGCATAAAAAAATACATAAAATATTTCATTTTGTTAGATAAATTTTATAATTCAACGCTAATTCTTTGAAAAATACGCTTATCATAATTTAGTACTGTTTTGGATTTGTTAAATTCTCAAGTATTCAGAATTGAGATTCTCTCAAGCAATCAACTGCTATTATAAGGACACCACGGAAGTTACGATATATACTGTCCCTAATAGCGAGAGTCGTTAAACTGTTTGATAAAGATACTCCAATACTGGGCTAAAAATGTAAATTGCTGTTTTTTGTCTCAAAATGTTCATTTGAAATCAATTTGTAATTCAAGATTACTCTACTAACTACTTGAGTAGAAAGAAGAAGATAAAAATAAAGTTAAAAATAAGCAAGATATTGTATTTCATAATTTTTATTCCTCCAAAATAAACAATATTTCTCAGCAATTGCATGATGCAAAGATAGATCATTTCTGTTCTTTTCAGTTTTGTAAACATTTTATTGTTATGAAAACAAATACAGAGCAGTATACGTAAGAGCAGCTTCCCGAAGGCAAGAGTTTACTGTATTGTTTCGTATTTCTATAATTACTATTAATTATTTCATTAAGTTAAACACGCTTCCCCCAAACAAAATGAAATAACATATACTATGGAAAGCCGTTCCGGCCAATAGGGTATCGAGTTTTAAAAATTATATCGAGTTCAAAAAAAAATACTATCAAGATTTCATTTCTCCAAAATACAATAACGAAAGCCTTGAGAAAACCAATCCAGACTTAAAAATAATGACTGAGAAAACATATCGAGATTTCTTACCAGCACGAAAGACGGTCGAGAATTCTATCTCGAGAGAACATATCGAGATTCTTCAAATGTGAGAGAAAATAGTTATAGAATTCAAACAAGGCGAAAGGCGGTCGTGAAATTCAAACAAGGCGCCATGATTCACAAGTCATTTGGTTTGATGGTAATGATTTTTGGTGGATGTTTCCTGTTTTGTATAACAACTGACCGTTAGAAACGCTGAGCCAATATTGTTCAAAATGGCCCTTAGCCGAGAAGATGAGTCGTCTCTTGTTTCGCAAATTATTGAGAATGTTTCTGTTCTGTCAAGTGTTTTAAGCAACGCAAGAAATACAGCAAATAAGCCGGTGGTATCTGCTTCAAATACAACACTCGTAGAGGAAGTTCGTGCCTTCTTTAGAAAGGATAAAACATGCCTTCTACCAGCGGTAATTATCGTAATGGAAATGAGAAATCTAGTGCCAGTGCGAGCATTTCATCTACCTTAGCGACATCAACCCCCGTTCATTCACAAAGCCTGTCATCCGAAGGAGCTGCAAATGACATGCGAAATGTTCATCCTTTCTTCGCTGGTACCCCAAAGTTTACACGAAGCAGGAAAGGCCAAGCTTATAAAGGTAAAGGAACTTCAACTAAAGGAAACAGATTATATTATAAGGAGGTAGTTCTTCTGACCGGTAATAATGATACCATTACTCCTCGACAAGAGTTAAACTATATTTAAAACAAAATAAACAAATTGTTCGTGGAGTTCAATTCTCCAAAGATTGGTCTCAACAACAAATTTGTGATAAAGGGAGAAGTTTGTTTGAAAAAAACTGGAGCATTGTAATTTTGAGTTTGTTGAGTCGGTTTATACTGAGCTTGTACCCCCAACTCTGCCTCCATCTGAAAAGTATGATGGCACAATGTTGTATAGGTCTTTCAAGGACAAAATTTTGTATGTTAGACCTCAGCAGCAAGTCATTCCTTTACCACCATTATCTGGTAAGTCGAAAAGGAAAAAGTCAAAAAAGTCTTTGAAGGAATTGACGATTCTGATGAAAGTTATGCATGTGAACCTAGCTCAGTTTGTAGAGATGATGATGATGATTTGTTACCTTCTGGGAGGCTTCCTGCATATGAAAGCCACACTTTACATGCTAACATTGAGCCAATGAATAATTCCTGCATCATGAGTAAGCCATCTGATTTGCCGATATAAAAAGTTTTAGCAACTTAGCCAAAATTTGAAAGGAGAATACTAAATAATCATTCTGATTCTGTTGACAATAATCATATCAATAGCCAGTCTAGTAGGTCTGAAGATGTATTAGCTAAAATTTCAAATGAAGAAACCAAAAATCATTCTAACTCTGTTGAGGACAATGCCAACAATAGCCAGTCTAGGAGGTTTGAATTAGCCCATTTAATAGATCTAACCACAGATTCAATTTATGCTTCATTGTTTAATTCAATGCATCATGAGATTTTAAGTGATTTTGAAGATGTTGAGTATGTTTCTCAGGATGATGAAAACTTTTGACTCTTCTAATTTAACATTTGAGAAACTCGTCTTTATTTGTTGAGGAGAAAAATTCAAAATTTTTGACCTGTTACGCTCAAAGAATAGAAGATAATAGTTATTTTTAGCTGGTCAGGTCTTTTCTCTTTTTCTCGTTCATGGAGGCCCATCTCCATGATTTTTAGCACCACAACTGTTTGACAGTTTGATTCTAAATCCCAACACCCTCACAGGCTCCATTGAAAACATTTAAAAATGCCAACGTGTCAATGCCATATTGCTGTGGATTAACATTTATGTCTGACAAAAATGTCATCATACTAGTTTCCCCATAAGGCAAATGGCGATCTGCTCTGTGAAATCTGCATTCCTCGGTAGCTTAGCTGATTTTGTAATTCTTGAAGAGATTTCCTGATTCTTGGAAGAAATACCAAGTGAAGGGCAAAAAGATGTATTTCGTTGTTTGAATCCAAAAGATTTTGAGATTAAAGAAATTTTAAAATGTCGGAATAGTATCTTGTTACAACTCGATTGACGTCTTCCCACAACCGCTGTATCCTTTGATTGTGGACGCTTCGACCTGTAATGAAACTACCTCTAAAGTAAATGGTTTGAACCCGGGAGTATCGTTATATGTTTGTAAATGATGATCGTCCAGGTTAATAAAGTCCTGAGAAGGACTGTTTTTGTTGTTGTTGACTGACGTTTCGACAACCTTAGCGGTAGTCATCTTCATTTGACTCTGAAGATGACTACCGCTAAGGTTGTCGAAACTTCAGTCAAAAACAACAAAAACAGTCCTTCTCAGGACTTTATTAACCTGGACGATCATCATTTACAAACATGAAACTACCTCTGTTCAGTCCACGAGAAGATAACATGAAACGAGCTACGTCATGATTTTCTACCCCGTGGTCGCCTCGCACGCGTGATGGTAAACCAAATCTTTGAACACCCTGTATGAAAAAATTCAATGACATGGCTGCAAGGTTGTTATTTTCACATTGTAGATATATTGGAAGACGACTGTAACTATCAACGCATCCAAAAATTACAAAACGCCATAATATTAACTTATGACTTGTGATTAGTGTCAATATGCCATAGCTGATTAGCTCCTTGAACATTGTATACGCGACGACGAATTGCACCATTCCTTCTTATTGCCAGACCAACTGCGTCCAGTATGTTTAATCTTTCCCGAATACGCCATCTCTGTATATGAATATTTCTGCTCCTTAAGCTACCGATAACAAGTTTTTCTCCAGCATTTGGGGTAGAGTTCATTGCATCTCTATTCATATCATCCAATACACTATCACTAATATCAGAGTATTTGGTTAGAATACCATACTCTTGTCTCCTCCTGTACAGAGTTCTTTCACTTATGTGAAGGATATAGCTATATTGACCCATGCCAAACCGTACGAGTGAAGTCTTTCTATTTGTTCTTTGGGTATCAAGTACTCAAATACTTAGGAAGACCCCCAGATTGAATTAATTGTGGAGTATATTCAGTCGAGTTAACCTCGTTTTCATCGTTTGATAGATTTTTCTATCTTGGTTAAAAATAGACTTATTGTATTTAATAGCAGAAGCAGTTTGTGTACAAGTACTTCAGTTTGATGGCTTATACTCTCATCTAAAACATGGACAAATGCAGCAATAAGCAATAATTCCAAAGTTACCTTCCAGTTGACGTTGACAGTATTTCAATGAGTCGAATATACTGTGATTGAATATACTGCTCAGTGCGGTGAATAACGCACGAGAGTGTTAAAAAATAATCTACTAGCTCATCCTCCGTACTTCCCATTGCCGTAGATATTTTTAATTTTTCAGCTATTCTAAATTTGAAAAAGTTTTTGTGCTGGTTGAAATCTTAACAGTGGCTTTTTTGCTGACTATACAACAGAAACATTTTCAATAATTTGCGAAACAAGAGACGGCTCATCTTCCCGGCTAAGCACCATTTTGAATAATACTAGCTCAAAGTTACTAACGGTCAGTTGTTATACAAAACAGGAAACATACACCAAAAATCATTGCCACCCAGTTGCCACCAAACCAAATGACTTGTGAATCATGGCGCCTTGTTTGAATTCTCTAACTACTCTCTCTCGCATTTGAAGAATCTCGATATGTTCTCTTGAGCGTCTTTCGCGCTGGTAAGAAGTCTCGATATGTTTTCTCAGTCAGTATTTTTAAAATCTGGATTGGTTTTCTCAAGGTTTTCGTTATTGTATTTAGGAGAAATGAAATCTCGATAGAATTTTTTTTGAACTCGATAGAATTTTTAAATTCGATACCCTCTTGGCCGGAACCGCTTTCTAGAATATACTTCACAATTTTATTTAGTTTAACAAGTAGATGTAAAGAGATTTAGGTAAAAAATCAACTGAAACGATTTTTGTTTATCTTTAATTTTATATGCGAAGAGAAAAATAAAAACTCAAATGGCAAAGAAACCAAAACAACAAATCCAAACGAAAATATTATTCTGGTCGATACAGTAAGTGAGCCTGATGTGCCATCAATTCAAAATCCTGAAGTCGTTCTTGGTCAACCAAATCAATCACCTCCGGCAAACCCAAATCTTGTGTTCCTACCACATGGTCTATTTCCTCCACAAAGAGAAAAAATTCAACCTACTGAAGCTGCTAAACCTGCGATGGAAGTCAATTCTCACCCTCTGGCATCCCTAAACAGTAGTTCTGTCAACTCATTTACGTCTTTAAATGGTACTTCCATCAACTCAACATCATCGCATTTGTCCAAAATGACTCAAATATCTTCTGCTGTATTTCCTCAGCATTGAAATACGGAGGGCGTGACATTAGGCTAAGTACTGGCGTGACGTAGATTAGTATTCGAGATTTTCATCAAACGAAGTAACAAACAAACCATTGGCTCTCAAAATCATTTTAGGATTTATAAAAATCTCTTTTAACGCAAAAATACGACAGTTTCTCCCAAAATTTAGCATATTAATATCACTTGCAATAACACTTAAATACTGTAACAAAGCCAGCTTGATCTACAATGCAAATTGTTCAGCGAAATTATTATTTATTTCTCTAAAAAATAAGCCCTGTGATATATTTTCCCAGCGTTTGAACTGAAAATCTTAAATTGCATTGCAAAAGTAAAAACAAATTTGTTTGATGAAGTAATTCAAGTGGGCTCTTAAAAGTTACTTCATTCATCACAAAGTGACATTGGTTGTATTAAATAAAACCTCGACAGAAATCCTGCAATACCCATCAATTAATCCCCCAAGAGAAGTTCTGCTGTACTAATCATTTAAATTTACACCACGTCAATGAAAGCAACAAATACACCATCGTAATAATTGCATAAGTGTCGCAACGAGCATTGCTTCTATTGAACCTTGTTATCTATCTCTACACTTTCCTCTTTAAGTATATTTCAGTTTGAACTTATGTATTCAACCTTATATTGTTTCCTGTAGCACATGCCATAACGGTTTACAACATTCATTTATAAATGTTCAAACAACCAGAATATTGTATTCCATGGTAAATACTCAATCCTACCAAGTTTCTTAAAAATTGAGCCATTTGCCAAATAGAAAAATGTTTTTTAAGAGGATTTCCCATGACATGAAAATACACACACTTGCAAGTATATATACAGATCAGTGTCGTAAAGGAAAGTGCAAGATGTTTGTTTGTTATATATTTGCTTCTTTTGTTTGTTCATCTAAGATTGAAAAGCAATAATACTAACAAAAAAGCCATAAAATCATTACCATAATTTAAAAAGACTATCTTGAATACCACATCTACTGATGTTTTTCTGTTTTTGTTTATAAAACTCTACACACTTTTCTACTTACTTGTTATGTATGAAATCGTAAATTTACCAATTTGTTTTCAAAATAGTTCCCCTGAAGAAAATTTTTCGTTGAAAAATACCTTGCATGCGCATGTTACAGATGACATAAAGAAACAATCAACGCAAACAGTACCCATTGTGTGGAGCAGAGTTTGTTCTGATCTATTTGCTGTCAACATGAAGAGAAAATCATGTTCAAAGTATATCTGGAAGACTTGAACATGGTGAAGAATCAACACCATTCCACATATAATATGATTATAAAGATAATTGGTATCAAGATTTTAATTATTGACAAGGCAGTGTCTTACAACAAAAATGTTAAGTTAGATAAAAGATTAGGGTAAGGTAAAATGATTTATTACCTTCTCTATCGAAGAGCTATTTGATTATGATGTATAATTCTATGGATGAAGAAAACGGATTCACTTAGGATACCTTGAATGCTTTGAAAGTAAAGTTCAAGTACCTGGTACCAAAGAAAGATGGCAAGAGGGCTGTGTGTGTTTTGATGCTTGATGAAATGTGAACTCATAAAAATTTAAAATGGGTTGGTCATAAAGTTTGTGTATGTGAATAATGGTACTGAGATTGATGATTACTCACTCTAAAATCAAGTGGGGTAACAAGAGGTTGTACGACCGAACATTTTTCAAACTAAGGTTTTTTTAACACACAAAAATTTCAATATTTGTTTGTTATCAATATTTTGCATTTTGTAATACTTCGATCATATTACTCACACTATATTGCGTTTCTACCGATATCAGCCTCATTGCCTAAAAGCACATGGAACGGCTTTTGCCCGTTTTTAGTCGTGCTCTAAGCACTGATTTGTTAGAAAACCTCACAGGCTGTTGAAATGAGCTTACTCAGCTTTAGGTTGGTCGTGCTGTGATCAGGCGAGAACGACAAAAACATAAATTACTAGTAATGTATTAAGCAGCACTGTGTCTTACGCATTTCCCAATTCGCCGAATATTTTCCTTTGGTCGTGCTCAAGTTTATTAGCACGAGTGTTTCATACTGTTGAAATATACATGATTCATCGTTGTACTGTGTTATTGGACTTTTTTGCTTGTGACGAGCATGGAAATCAATCAAGAACAGTAAAACGTCCCTTTAAAAACAAACAAAGACTCAGAGATATCGTTTCTGAGATTTTACGAAGGATTGTAGGTTCACGCAACGCTATAGAGTAAAAAAAATTGTTTATGTGGTACGACAAACCCTACGCTTACACTGAAAACGAGAGATAAAGGTTTCCATCACTCTTAGCCTGAAATGAAAGATTAGTTGTGTGCAAGTGTGGAGAAACAGCGGTTATTTGTCGACTTTATTTACTATTTCGTCCAAAATCCACTAAAAGTATGTAAGACTGCAAAAATAGGTAGGCAGAGCCATTTGTGGGTAGTCCCTACAAAAATATATGGAAATTTTTGAAAATACAGAATATTTTTAATTATTCTATGGGAAAAAGACAAAAAGAGCTTCGCTGTTGGTCGCTGCAACAAAAGAGGTTAGCTTGCAGTGGTCAAAAATTACAAAAAATTACAAGTGTCAAATAAATGCAAGTAATTACAAGTCACATCTTGTAAATTGTGATTGTTGATTTATCAGTTGAGTATGCTACATACCATAGACGCAATAAAATTATTTTGTAAAACCAACTATTAAATATAGTCTTTATGGGAAAAACATGGTTTTCAGTAACAATTTTTATTTAATACATTTATAATTTCGTGTGAACACATATTTTTTACAACTTTAAGTTAAACGATGTTAGCAGGCGAGTTAAGTCGCGTGCCATGTAATATCTGCATAAACGTTAGACAAGAGGATTAGGGAAAAGTAAATTTCCCTATCTTTTGTGAATTGTGAGGAAAAAGTCGATCCATAAACTAGTGAAGGTCAAAAATGTCGGTTTTGTTACCATTGTGGCCTTTTTCCAAGAAATATGGGATCAAAATTGTTGGTCCCAAGTCCTAAAAATTGGAAAACGTCCCAATTTATTGTAGCAAGTACGTTCCTGATTCAAAAGAGTTAGGTACGGGTTCATTTGACTTAAGAATGAGCTCAAAACAAATTTTTGCAATCTCAGACATTTTGTGAATTTTCATGTTTATTATGTATATTGAACTACGCTTGTTGATCATTTTTCTGGACATATCTTTTCTATATATTTTTGTGGTGGCTACCCAAATGTACGCTCTGCCTAACTTTTTTTCTTTTGTCATTTGATATCGTTATCTTGATATATATTTTGTTTGGATAATTTACATTTAATATTTGGATACAAAGCTCTTATCCAGAATCATTATCATATATGGGAAAAAATTTAACAATTATTCGACTCAATATCCAAAATATCTCAGACGTACAGCAAATATGAAGATTCCAGTTGACATTCGGGTACTTCATGAATTTTTGTAAATAAACAGGTTAGCAAAAAACAACGTTAAAATGACAGCATATTTCTTTTTGTAAATGTCCTTGTATTCCCTAGTGCTCAATTTTAATCTTGTCATTAAACTGAGAATAAGTTTTGTGCCATACCAAAAATATTTTCATTAATATTTTTAAATCGTGAAGCTTCTCTGACAAGACCCATTTCTGTCTGTTGCATCTTTATGCTTAATTGTAATAATCAAAATGTGTGATGGTTTACATGGTTTGGCTTTAAAAATATTCAATTTTTTCTTATCCGTTATTCTTCAGAATATTAACCAGTTCCTCTCATCAGACAGATTACAAATTCCATCAAATCTTAGAACAAAAAACCTAAAAATATAAAATGATGCAAACATATAAAATGATACACATGCATATAAAATGATACATTTCATTAATTGTATAGACAACTTACATTTTCATACTGAATTCTCACTAAATTTGTGGCAATCATTAGAACGCCAAGTTAAATTAAACTCTTGTGATAGTTTTGAGGAATAGATATATTTACTCTGAAAGGTTGCTTTGAAAAAATTGGCAAAAAACGTTCTATAGCTAGATGCATCTTGCTGCAGCAACTACAATCAGGTTATAATAATTAATTTTTGAAGTAAATGCCTCTTTTTAACAAACTGTCCTCTGTATGTATTGGTATATGTTTTTTATAATAATTACGGTAGATTGTCAAATGAATTATTACTTAAATGGCTAGCCAAAAAATTTTGCAATGTGATCTTTTTACCTCGATAAACATGAATTTGATAACAGTCAAAAGAAATTTTGCAACAAAACAACCGAAGCTATACTATTAAATTAGATAATCAAAATACTATTGTTTTTTACAATAGTCGTATCGCAGACTTTCTCATATGACTTTAGCAATGAGCTATACAACTGCTTGTCATTGTCTTGCAGGAGATACCAAGGCCTTAAGGAAGCAACTCTATTCGCCCAACCTATTCCCTGCTCTTTGATGTTAAAATTTCAATCGACTTCATGTTAAGCGTATAATATACCACATATTTTAATGTCAAAGACTTTCTCCTGCTATGTTAGGTACTTCCATGTCTTTAAAAACTCTATACTTTTCATCTTGTAATTTCACACTTTCCTTAAATGCGAGCGACTGCTTTACAATAACGTGTATGATCCATTGGTTGTCGGGGTGGCTGTAATTTCCAAACTGGTAGCTTCATCTCGATGGTATGTGACGGTTCCATCAAATTTTTGCTTGTAAGTTCTGGCAAAGAAAAATGCTTTTCCAAAGTGCGAGAAATGACCGTCGATACTTTGGAAGACGCCAAGCATATACGATAGGATTGATAGCAAAGTTAGCCGAGAATAACGATGTCAGGCACACAGGAACCAAGAAAAAATTCTCATGAATGCAGTCAACTCCGCAAAAAAGTGCCAGTCCATATATTACCTGATAGTGAACAATTGTTGGAACGGTTGTAATCACCAGAAGTGCTATCAACATAAAAACGACTTTGGTCAACTTTGTTTCTTGATTCATGTGCTCTTTGTGTTCCCTGTTTACCTGATTCCATCGGTTCGCCAATAATTTCCCATAAAATATTGTCACCAACAGTATACAGAGCTAGAAGAATGACGACATTACGAATACCTGGATGTCCTGATTCTTATTGGAAAGAGGGATCAATGGTATTCCTGAAGTGAGCCAAATTGTTGCAATTGCACAATAGGTTCTACGCTTTGTCACGATTTTATTCGCTGACCATATGTACCGAATGGCAGTGTATCTTTCTAGCGACAGCAATACAAGTGTTTGGAAAGACACGGTGTATCCTAACCACACAAGTTGTAAGACTATTTTAGTAACGACCTCTAGAGCCCATTTCCAATACACAGTTTTCCAAAGTATCAGCATCGAGATGGTGAAAAAATTACTTAAATACAAATTCAGTATCAAACTTATGCTACATCTAGTTTGATACTGAATTTGTCTTTGAGTGATTTTCCATATTCATGTTTACAAAGTAAGCATGTCTTATGAAATTTGATCTGCCCACTTTACTCTCGAGAAACCGAAGGTGGCGGTTCCTTTGCAACGTTGGTGTCTCGAATATCGAGTCCCATTCCATGTTCTTTTAAATCAGATTCAACTGTGAACTCATTTTTTAGAAATCTTGTAAATTATTTTAAAGAATCATATAAAGATATACAAATTTTAAATTTGTAGATTCAGAATATTTTAATTTATATAGCATAGTTTTATTGTAATTGGTTAGTTTTTTGGAGGTCCACTTTTTTATAAGTGTTAAACTGCTTTGTGTTACCCTCATGAAACAAAGTTGCTGATATAAATTATAATCCGTAAGCAGCCTAAAGGATCAACAGCAAACACTAACATGAAAAAGCCAATAGTTAGTAAAAATGGTGTTGATATTTTCCTTAAGACATAGAAACTTTTTACTGCTGGAAGCAACATTTTAGTTTAGTGATTGTTCACCTTAAATCGTATATTTTTCCCTTTTAAGAGGTTTTTTAAAACTTCAAAAAATTTTCCATCTAGTGGATAGCACTAGTCGGCTTTCGTGCAACCGGCCCCTGAAGTTTTTAAATACAGTCATTGCTACCCCTTTGACGAGCTATACAGTAGAATGGAATCCATGACTGCTGATTGTGTTTGGAATATGACGAACTCGTTAAATGCTCGAGATATACAATGTTATACTTTTGCTTATTTTTAAATAATATAAGGCAGTGTTGGGTTTAGACGAAAAATCAACATCATAGTTATGTTTTTGCTAATATTTTATTATACTCTTCTTTTGCCAAGAAAATTAAGATCAGTGTGCCACTTACGTCATCATAAGCATATTACATTGTCTCAGTAACATCAGTGTGCTCAGTAATACCAGTGTACTCAGTAACACCAGTGTACTCAATAATACCAGTGTACTCAGTAATACCAGTGTTTTCAGTTATACCAGTGTACTCAGTAACACTGGTCTACTAAGATGAACAGTTACAGATCTGGTTCAAGACAATGTTAAATAGATACCAGTCTTTGCGTGGCCAAAATATTATTTCTAGTTAACTATAAAATTACGATATGTAAATTAGTGTCTAAAATGTGTATTAAATGTTTTAAGTAAAATTTTCTTGCAATAGTGTAATAGATTTCTTATTTTTTGGTGCATTTGTTATGTTACGCATATTGTTGCAAATTATATATGCCACATCATACATCACTCAAAAGCGCCCTATTTTGACGTATGTACTGTCACTATAGGGTGTACAAAAATGCTAATCTTTGAAATCCACCGATTTAGAGTTTGCGGGATTCAGTATTAACAGATCTCCCAAAGACCTGTAAACGCATAGTTTGTATGATTCGGCAGCACTGATATATGTATTAGACTGGAGAACGCTCTCTTGTGAAAATTGAAGCCGGATGTTCGATCATTTGCTACTGCCTTCATGGGGAGTATCTGTTCCACTTTACTATACTTTTGTATTACAAAATCATAGTTCATCCGTTTTTATTCCTTTTACAAACTTCTGATTAAGGCAAAATTTTCACGAGATGTAGAGGAAAACCGAGTTTTAACCATAAAGCTCTGTTTTCTTGGCTTTGTAACGACTGAAAAATAAGATGGCAAGTTCTATTGAAAATTTAAAGTTGAAGGTGACGAGGACAATTTCAGTTGTGCGAGGCATTTTTAGAAGATGAATACTTAAATTACAACAAAGTACGAACAAAGGTATTCATATCTTCAATATATTCATCGATATTGAAGTTGTTCACACAGGAACTGGTTTAAAACTTTCCTTTGCTTAATGCAACCCAGAGAGGTACTTTCGCATATTTTGATGATGTACATCTCGTAGAGTTTGATGATACTGCTTTCAACTTACTATTGTTCATCAACATGTCTTTCTTATTATTTTTCTATGTCGATTTGTTTTGTTTCTTCTCTGATATAATACAGACGTAATTTAAAATTATTATGATATTAGCGATGTGAATGACAAAGTGTTGTTAAATAAGTAAATTTGTAGCAATCTTCCATAAACGTCATTGCAGATGAAATTTTGGTAGCAGTAGTAGGATTCTGTAATATTTCCATATTTTTTAAGAAGTAGCAGCATCATATAATCTCCAGTTTATTTCAAAACAATGCAGGTCAACCTTGAACCATCTCCATTTTCTAGCAATATAAAGCCAAGAAGACAAACTTTTTAGAATTAAATATCTTTGTAGGTCATTCCGTCCCTTTCATAAAAATTTTGCTCGAATCAAAAGTTTGCAGAACGAACAAAAACGCAAAGACTGTGATTTTGTAATACAAAAGTATAGCAAAGTGGGACCGATACACCCCACAAAGGTCAAGCAAATGCGCCAACTTCCGGCTTCAATATTCGTACTATATTTTATACATGGTGCGTTATCCAGTGTAATATACACATCAGTGTTCGGCAGTAATTGTCTCCAAAGACTTGTAAACGCATTTGAAAACAGCCTTACGAACAAATTGCCGATTGCAGCTACTCTACATTGCGAATACCAAGCATCAGTTCTTTCCAATGACGTTACACGCCTCCTTGGTGATCATTTACGGCTGAATCATGCAAATTCTGAACATCTGCGAAATTCATCAGGACGTGCAGTTTTTTACACCCTGTTTAATTAGCCATATGGTGAATAAATTAAGATTGTTTCTCCTGCTGTTTTAATTTGTTTTTTTATTATTTTGAATAACATTTGCGTGTGGAGGCCTTGGACGAAACTCAAAAAATGCAAAATGCCATTGAAAGACACTTAAAGCTTTATGATAGATCGGAAAAAGATTTCTACGAGTTTGGATCAGACCATCTAAACATGGAAACGATTTAGTAATTGTTTATTCATTGTGAACTAAAAAATATTTGGATAAATGGCGAACGGCTGTTTTTACTTTCGTATCCTTTCTCAGTCCTTAGTATCAGCCTCGTATAATTACATTGTACAACATGTAAAAGCAGTGGCGTATTTCTCAGTAGGCTAAGGAACGCAAATGTCATCAAGAGACTGAACTTAGTGGAAGGAATAGATATCCGACTTAAATCCAACAACTTTGCCTTAACCTCTAGGCCCCGTAATTAGTAATCCGCTACCACTGCATGAACGCTTCCTTTGTCTAAAGCAAAAATTACCAAAAAGTAAAAATTGAAATCATAGTGGTGAAGTTTAAAATATCTTTGAGCTCAATGTTTGAGACTTTGATTAAGTAAAATTGAATCAGTAAACTAAAAAATAGTATCCTATTACGACCTTTTCGATTTTGATGAATCTCATTATTGTCTTTCTGCAACAAAATTTATCACTTAAAGGAGAATAATTGAACTGGATTTTGCTTTGTCATCAAGTACGATTGTTCAATTCAAAACACAAAAGAAAATACAACAGACACGAATAGGACCCGTTGTATTGCTATGGAGCAAAATAAAGCATAATTATATTCTAAATTTGCTGGTTCAAAGAACTTTTTCTTTCACACAAAACATGCATTTTAGCGACTAGCTGGCTGAATTTGTTGACATTTGCGAAGAAGGATAACGTCGAAAATTCCGCACAATTCAAATCAGAATATATTTTGCCAACCTAAAAATTTTAAACGTGAACGAATGTTTAACTTTAAAAAACGTACATTTGTACACGGTAACCTTCCCGCTAGACTCTGATGAATAAGGTTTCATAAACAACGCACATCTTTATGAAATTATAATTCTCTTTCCTGCTTGTCGATTACATCATGAGCATTTTGTCGATTATATGATTTATATGATGAGCATATATACGTTGCTTGCTTATAACTCAACACAAATAAGCATAAATATCAATATTGACGCAAGACGGCATAGCAATAGCGTATTTGCTCTACAATAAAGTGGCATATACCAATGCAAAATACTTAATCATGCTACTGGTTGCCTTGGCAAAGCGCCAAAATGGATCATTTCAATTTATTTTCATGAAGTACACAAGTTTTGCTTTGCTAACTTTGAAAGAACTCAAAATCACTGGCTTTTGACGACCATGCAAGTATGTAATCATAGTATGTAATCAATGCAAGCATTTTCAGTACTCCAATGTTCACAATTCCAAACCATAAAGAGCCTTAAAAATGTAGCGTGTCTCTGTTTAAGGTTGGATCCTAGGTAGCAATGACTCCAATGAGCCAATATGTCATCTTATAGTTATAGATTGGCCAATGTATTTAAAACAACATGACATATTTTTCCACTGACAGCAAGTGAGATTTATACTTCACTAAATTTTTTCTAAAGCCGAGTCTTTTGCTATGAGCGATATCGAAGTTGCCTTCATTTGTACAAATTATTAACAATTGGCATTAATGCCAAAAAACCACTTACCTTGAACACTTGAGAGGCGAGATGCGATCACTTGGAAATCTTAAAAGAGAAGAAGTTGTTACTAGTTGCACTTGATTATTTTAACCTTGTGTGCTTAGATCATAAGCAGCGCATTTGAGCATGCGCAAAAGCTGTCAGCTGATCAGTATTAGAGTTGGCAATCTGGTTAAGCTCAACCAAATCTAAGATTTTAAGAATTGTCCTAAAAAAACATTTGTCCTAACAAATAACGAATTTATCTAAAATTGTTATGGATTTTGTCATAAGTAGAAAACACAATATTCAAGAGCATCATAAATTGTTTAAAAAAAATTTATATATCAATTAATCACTTTGACTGCTGAGCACGACCAGCGTGACCACTAGCTTCTCTACTTTTTTTCAATGAAAATTGAAAAGTTGTTGCCATTTAGCACACAATGACACCCAGACAATGGCGCCGTTGTTAAACACATGTATTTTTAGGGTATTATGTTGTAGGAAAGAGACATTGGAACTGTTTGTATACATTGATATGTAGAACAACGTTTTCTTTTATCTAAATGGCAAATGTTTTAAACTTTTGCGTTCCATGTTTGTGGTAAGCCTTGTCTGACTCAAAATAGAGTAATTTATTCATGAAATAATAATTATGAAGCCTCTCTTTCCTCGTGCTTTGAAATGTGAAAATTGAATAATGTCCGACGTAACATTGATTTGTGTTATAATTATGTTCATTTAGATGGTTATTAATGATAGATGATTGCAACAAAGTAGAGCGTTAAAGAATGTCCTTGAAATAGAATTTCTTATTAGAAGTAGTATTTTAAAGCAACCATCTTATTATAACATCAATATATAGAACCAAATACGATATTTAGTGCAACAGAACAGAATTGTAATTAGAAATAGTAGAATGTTAATCCAAAGGTGCTTGTACAAAGTCCATAATCAAGTATACAATCATATATTATCATTATTGATAGCTGCTATATCATATTACTGTTTAACCTTAGGAGTTACTCTCGCAAGGTAATTGCTGCCTCTCGCACAGAGTAGGCGAAAAGTGCCATTTGCAAATAGCTATTGGGTGTTTTCCATCATTTATCATCTGTTATAAGCGACACAATACCAAATGAACAAAAGCACAGTAATTTTTAAACCATACAATTGATATGATGAGCAACAAACTGCAATATCTTGTATATTTTGTCACTTAATATAGACAAAGTAATTGTATCACATTTTATTTTCAAATTCTCATATAACTAAGTCAATTTATTGAAGAACATGCAAAAAATAACATTGTATGTATGTATATTATGCTAATATTAAATTGGGAATAATTGAAATATTCCAAAGTTCATTTTACAAAATTAGCATGCTAAAGGAGGCGGTAGCAAAACAATTGCTTCATTTAAATTATTTATCTTTACATGTATATGTTGCAGTTAGAACTCATCCAATAACCAATTAAATCATGTTAACTGGAGCTTAAAGGATGTTTTCTGTATTTTGTTCAATTTGTTGCCAACCAGCACAATTATCATCATTAATTTAATACTTGTGCCCTGTAGTAGATCGACGAGCCACTATATCTCCACCTCAATCAGCATCTGCACATCCTGACAATATTGGATCATTGCCATCTGTGTTAAATAGTAAATCATAATCCAATGAGCCTTGAATGTAACATAGGATCCTTTTAACTCATCCCCAATGCTTCTGTCAAAGTTTTATCATATGTTAACGTCCTAAGTGCAACAGCTGAATCATCGGGTCGATTTTTTAAGGTAGCATAATTTAAGCATCCAATCGCCATTTCATATTCTTTTACTTTAACTGGATTCTCACCTTCACTAAACATATCATACTTCTTTCCAAATATAAGTAGTGTTGAGACTGCTTTAAAATTTTGCATGTTTAACCTTTTCAGTACTCCTTGTAGATTTTTTCCTGATTAATTGTTAATGTTTGCAATCGTAGATTTTGTTTTAACCTTATTCCAAGCACATAATGAATATCGTTAAGACCTTTAACAAGGAATCTTTTGTAATTCCTGTCTTTGGTTTTTCCAACATCTCAATATTATTGGAGAAACAGAGCATATCGTCAACATATATCACCATTACTAAGTCCTTATTAACCAAGCGCGAGATCTTTACGGAGAAATATCGGACCGAGGTCTTTGTGCATAGACCAAGCCCGTATGGCGAGGTTTGTACAAAAAAACAAAGGTCCGATATTTCTCAGCATCCTGAGAAAGCAAAGTTATTAAAAGGTTCATTATATGGCATTATTTTACCTGAAACGAAGCTTTCTTTCTTTCTCGTCTTGGCTGTTTTATACGGGTTGCTTTATATTTCTAGTTTTTGTGAGTAAAAAAGAAATCGTTTCAAATTGTATCGTCTGGATAGTTAAACTGTTTTTCGATTGTTTTTCCTTGAACTCATATTCGCAAATGCTTTTTTGTTTCATTTTTTTTGCGTTTTGCTGTTTGCTTTAGGACGTTTGTTTACATGTAATAAAATTGACTGTAAAATTACGCGTTTTGGACCGTGGTTCACTACGGGAAACT